CAGGCCGTCACAGCGTATTCCCCTACTCTTCTTAGGCAGGCTGGCTATAGTGAAGTCACGCAGAATGGTCTTGCGGGCGGCCTGAATACGATCGGAGTAATAGGCACCATCATCAATGCAAATATCGTAGACCGAATTGGTCGACGAGCTTGCTTGATGGCAGGTTCTGCGGCTTTGTTTTCTGTCAATTTGATTGTGAGCTCTCCTCTGTTTCTATAATGTACAATGATGACAGAATTAACTTTCAAAGGCTGGAGCTGTATTCGAAGGCTCCCTCCAGAACCCTGGAAAATTGGCTCAGTTCGCCCCGGCTGCTGTTGCAATGCTCTTCCTTTTTAATCTGTGGTAAGCATGCGGGAATTGAACTTTCACAGTTTTGATACATTAACCTGGATAGTTATGCCGCTTCCTGGGGAACAGTAGCCTTTCTCGTGCCTACGGAAATGTTCCCCTCAGACCTTCGAGCGCAGGGCAACGGCTTTGGAATCGCCGGCTGGGCCATCGGCGTGGGAATGACCACTCTGGTCAACCCAGTCATGTTTGGCAGCATCACGACCCGCAGCTACTTTCTCCTTGCCGGTCTGAACTTACTCTGGATCCCAACAGTTTTCCTTTTCTATCCAGAGACCTGTAACCGCTCCCTCGAATCTATAGAAGCACTATTTTCCACCTCCAGTCCGTTTTATTGGGAGATGGAGAAGGCGTACAAGTTGCATGGTGACGCGTACGCTGAACGGGAAATTGAGAAGATAGAAGATGACGGGAAAGGGGAGCTAGAAATGTATCAACATGGAGAGTTTCATGAAACGGTTTGATATGTGTCTTATGTTTGGACTTGGGATGTCATGTAGATTTATAGAGGAATTGCGAAACAAAAACAATACGATATGTACTCAATGGACCGAAGGGAAAATTTCAGACAAGTCACAGATCATGATTGTAGTGGACATAAATTATGTTCAATAATTGTAATCACGACTAGTAATGAAGTTTCTAATAGAGTGCAGTTAGATCTCTCTATCACTTTTGAAAACAAAGAATCATAACGACTACACACTGAGTAACTATAGTTGACCTAACTTATTTGGAACGTGACATCGACGACCAACCCCTGACTCAGCAGCTTATTCAGGTTAATTTCTGTCGGAGGTGGAGCAGTGGAAATGGTGACATATGTGGAGTGATAGGGAGCAGGTAGTCAATTGAGCATATGTTTATATGATTGACTAGTGTATTCTCATTGGCTCGCTAATCCCCTTTCTCTGTTGACCTTTTCTCCCTCTTCATGTATCTAGATGGCTTGCGTATGTGGCCTGAATGCTATCCCGTAGATGATCACCGAGATATCGTCCGACAGTTGGCTTATTCCTTGGCCTTTTCTCCCTTTTTCATGTATCTAATCAATTATATACATATGCTCAATTGACTACCTGCTCCCTATCGCTCCACACCAATTAAACCTTTAGAGGCTAAACGAGCGCTGAACCAAGAAAGGAAAGGTCGCATCCTAACTCCAACACTTTGATCCCTTTTCCGATGGAGTCTCAACTGTTGAAAAACGGTCAATATTCGTGCAGCAGATTCACCTTTTCATCTGCTTTTGTTCCCTGGATAGTGAGGCTCAGCTGAATGTGCCCTAAGTTCTCAATTTTGCTATCATCCTACGAGCTCAAAATACAAACGCCCGACTAGATCCTCCGAAAGTATCACCCCTCAGTATCTCGCATACTTAACCTATTGTTACCCTGTTTCAACCTTAAGAGGAAAAACTGGAATTTATGATGTCGCACCGACCACGGAAACTCCAACGTGTCTCTAGAGCTTGTATGTGTCGACGATAACCTGTATTTGCCCATTCGGCTTAATGGTTAATATTATGACAGGTGACTTCTGCAACAGACGTAGTATAAAATGCAGCAGAGGTAATGACCCGCTAGGTCGTTGCCAAAACTGTGCGGATTTCGAGGTGCTCTGCACCTTTGATCGCGCTACAAAGCGACGAGGGGTAAAGGCGAAGACTGCCGAAAATGTCGACCAAGTGAGACTGCAGTCTAATAAGACCTATGAAGACTTTGATCCTTCTCTCACAGCACCTGTGAATGATTCCTTGCCGTCAGATGATCCTTGGAGTAGTCTCAACGACACGTGGTTTACAGTGATAGGTGAGAATGAAAGCAGCGCATTGCAGAATTCGTGGAAAGCATTCGCCATTTCCAGTGATCAGATCATCAAAACTCTCGTCCAGATATATTTTGAAATTGTATATCCAATGTAGTACACCCATCGTCGGCTTATTTCTGAGGCCCATTGAAGCTGACTACGTCTCAGATTCCCTTTATTCCATCGTCCTTCGTTCCTGGAGAAACTCGACAATTACGAGCATCTAAAGGATCGAGGACTCTTTGCTTCTACCATGGCTGTATGTGCCTTAGCTTCTGCTAGAGCACGCGACGGAGCTCTATATTCCGATCGTTGGCACCCTTCCCAGCTTGCGGAGCCACCTTCGGAGGCTTTCTACGCAGCGGCCAAAGATTCTATTCCAAGGGATCTGACTACGGCTAGAGGGCTGGAGTATATGCGTGCGTGCGCCATCCTCGCCATTGCTAGCATTCAGAATGGACAAACCAAATGGATGCATCAATATGCGGGCATCTATCATACCTTGGCTGGTATGGAAGGACTCCACGATGAGAAGCTGTGGCCGAAGCAGTTGAATCCTATTGAGATCGAAGAACGTCGAAGATTGGTATGGATATGCAACCTGAATTCTCAATGACATTGATTGCAATAGAATTATATTGTTTACCGCTGTATTAACATTCTTAGTTTTGGTCTATTTATACCTTAGACATTTACTCATCTATCGTGTGGGGAGGCATTATCCGATACAGAGAAGCACACTCGATGGTGCGCTATCCTAGTGAGATCGACGATGAATTCATCACAAATAGTGGGTACGGCGTTCCGCCAGCCTCACCAGCATCGACCCGAACCTATCCCGCAGATATTACCCTCATATCACGCCAGCCCATGAGCTGGGTTCGCGGCTGGAACTTCACAACAGATCTCTACCGGATCCTCGAGCATGCGGTGGATTTTCATCGACGTCGCTGGTCTCAAGGCAATGGGACAACGCAAGTGTGGTCTCTATTTGGACCAGCGTCTATGTCAGAAGGGATTGTGCTGGACCATGTTCTCACTCTGTATTCCGCATTGCCGTCGCAGTTTCGAGAAACGTTACCAGTTACAGGCGATCCTGCCAAAGATCTATTTGGGTTTCAATCTGCCAATATCCAAGCAACCTTGCAGCTCCTTCGTATGGTCTTATTTTCAGCTGAGGATCGAGGCGTTGAAAGGAGGTGCGATGTTGCAGGAGAGTTGCTGAGCGTGTTTTCGAAAGTCCCTGTCGAGTATCTCAAAGCTATCAGTTCTCCTCTTGTAAGCTTTCCCCTTTTCTCTGCAATTCCAAGATCTCTGTTCCTTCTTCGAATATCTGTACTGACAACACCAGCTCCATCACCTTGCAGGGATCGGCTGTATACTCGGGTCCGTAATGGAAGGGAGTCTCTCCGAAGCATCCTATCAGCGGGTTCGGGGTCTGCTGTGAGTTACCTTGTTCATTCCCATGATCGCTTCTTCCTCCTATTAACTATAATACGATACGAATAGCCTTGAGATGGCCGATCTCCTTCGTCGCCTGGAATCTGGTCTTCATCGTGCCGTAGATGCCAGCCAATGGCTCACGTCACAGGTTGATCGAATTGACAAGTACATGTGCACCCAGCACATTTTCAACCCAAGTTCTGAAGCACAGCAAGACAGTTCTGCCGTAAGCAATGCTGACTCTCTTACTGGTCAAGACTTCCAGCCCGATGGGAATTTGGTTCCCCCGTATAATCACAGTTCATCCGCTGTAGTTGGCTCAACTATAGCGGATTACGGGGATCAGTTGTCGCTGTTTCAACTGCCACAGGAGCTGCTGGAAGATTGGCCCTGGCCTTTTGATTCTTTGCATACTGAGAGGATGTTTCCATTGGGATTTGAATTTGAATGACTTCTCTCTCTTTTTTTTTTTTTTTTTTCAAGGCGAATTTCGACACTATGGGTGTTTGGCGCGTCTGAATCTGTACTTGGGCAAGGCCCCGGCAATGTCGTAAGGCTATTGGATATGAAAACGTCTCCATATATTTACTATTGATATTATGCAAAGGAATTTCGATAATATCACATATTTAAATTCTTTGATATCTTTGCTATCGTCGTCAAAGTACCAGCTGTACATAGTAAGTTGTAGCTGAGTGATTTTCGATGAATCTCTTATTCTGGTTTACAAGCGTTTTTTGTTCTTTACAATGTACAGTAATTATAACAATTCATTATAACCAGACCGTATTAGACTCTTAGATTTATATGCAAGAATAGTAATATGATAGAAATATTTAAAATACTTGCTCTCTAGCTTTGCCGTGTCTTCGTCTCGCTTTCTACCCCCTCCCTCTCCATACAAAATCAGCGTTCGTTCATTGCCTAACTTCGTCGTACCCAAGCGATGAAATGCCCACGGTCCCGATGAAATAGACATCTGGGAAGTAACTGTAGTACGGACAACGTCACAAGCAGCAGCACTGAGTCAGATGAACAGCGTGACACCACTTATTGAGCAGCGAGGTATGGCTCCAAACGCTTTGATTTAATCGGTGCTATCGGGTCTTCTGGCATGGCATGTCAGATTCCCATATAGCAGGTAGATAATCTTCAATAAATTTCAAATAGGACTGTGAAGAATACCCTCTTCGAGCAGATTCCTCATCCCGAATCATTCGATAAATTTCAGTGTGGCCACCACCCCAGATTGCTGCCCAAATCATGATAGATATTCCTTTGCCTTTGGTATATGGGATTATATGCTTTTTTTTTTTTCCATTTTTCATTGAAGTGGTTGAGCCGCCATACCCATTGATTCTTCTTCCCTTTGCCAAGCTCAACAGAGCATTCATCACTCCATATAATCTTGCTCCACTGCTCATATGTCCAATCCTTGCGCACATATGCCCATTCATAGCGTAGTTTAGCTATTTCTTCAGTTAATTGAGGTCTTTTTTGTGCTCTCCAGTGGCCATACCCAGATTATTTTAACATGCGTGCAACAGTGCGTGTAGAAATAGGCATCCCAAGTAATTTGCAGATATCTTCAGTTTTAATAAAGGGATCCCGCTTGATTTGTAAAAGAATATATCACTTATCGGCATCAGAAAGGATCTCTGGCCGTCCAATGCGAGAAGAACTAGTGCCAGTGGTGGAGGACTGATATGTTGCAATGGTGGTTTGGATTGTTGTATATGGTAAATGCATTGCGCGCTGAATATCGGCCTTTTTCTGGCCTGCAAGGAATCGTCCAACTATAATGCCCCGTTGAAAAGGTTCTAATTCCTTTCTACCAGTCCTATTAGAACTAGTAGACTGCAAAGGGGCGCGAGGCATGGTGTAGGTGGTTGAAAAGATGATGGACAATATCTGGTGGCGCGTCGCGCGACGCGGAATTATGTAGACTTTTGTCATGTGACTGTATACTATGACAGTGTGATTACTCGAATATTCGGGCTTTGCAAGATTTGTAAGATCTCATTAGTCTTCTCAATGTATTTTGTACCGGAGAACCGGAGCTAGTTCACATAACCCGTCGAACAATGACACACCGAAGCTAGGGATTATCCGGGCTATGCTGGTTGAATATTCTAGCAGAAGGACAGCAGCCTGTAAAGTGTGAGAGCATCCCAGGCCAACAATTAACACCATCAAATCCACAATCAATCCCGGGGCTTGTCTATCCAACGATTTAACGGATCTATTTGCAGGCGCATTTGCTATCGTTCAAATTAGCCACATTAATCCTCAACCCCGTATAAAGAAGACGAAGAAGAGAAGCATACTTTGCCTCACAGCTGTTACCAGTTTTTCCAATGGCAAGGCACTATTCATCGTCAGCAAATATAACACACCAGAGAACCCGTTTAGCAACATACAAATTCAGCACAGCAGACATCAGTATATTCAATGCCCGATTCACAGCAGACGTCGCGCCTTCGGAGGTTCATAGGATTGGCCATGATGTGACTAGCCAGGAGGGCAATGGTGAAGGTGAATATCGTGGAGAACTGCATTTGGTCGTACTCGTTCAAAGTTTGAGCTGTGCTATTGAGGGTTGGTGCTAAAGCGATGCTGGCTGTGTCTAAGCGGATGGACAAGCTGGAGGTATTTATATCCAGTTCCTGGCGCCCTGTCCTCCGTAAAGGGGTGCCGGGACACGGCATTTGCATCCGCGGTGGGAGTGCCACACTCCCAAGTATAACAGTGTAACTCCAGGAGATACGCTCTTTGCCCCTCTTTAAGAAAGCATGAGTTGACTCCGGACAATGCTGGTTGTCTCATCCCGTTGTTGTTACACGAGAATTCAACCACGGCCCAATTGAACGACATTGAAGCCTTGCCAAAAAATATTTACAACAACAAGGCAGGAGACGGTAATAAAAAAGCAATGGGAGTGCTGCCCTATACCGCCCATGCGGACGGCTTCATAAATAAGGCCCATGGACTTGACACGAATTCGAGAAAGAAGATTACCTTCTCGAATTTATCCTGTAGCCGATTCGAGCATATTTATACTGACCAGATCCCAGGCAATTAAGGGAAGGCTGGTCGCGAACTCGCTGTCATCACGAGAATGCGATAACATATTCAAGGTAGAATAAATCCGCGGCGTTATCAACACCCATGGATTTGATGTGGACGCTCAAACCGATGAAAATAGGGAAGAAAGTCCTGTGATGGAGTATATGAACGATTGGCTTCAATATTTGGACAATTCTCACGGACGTGGCGACTCATCAATGTTATGTCCTCCAGTTGTGCGATCTCGAACATGCACATCTCCCCTGTATTCTGCTAATCCAATACAATTTATTAAACATGTACTAGGCACCGAACAATACCAGTTTAAAAAAAATTTCAATCCTAATTAACAGGCCACAGCAGCTTAGTGGTGCCCAGGGCTCATCGATTGACGGGGCGAGATTTCTCGATGAGATACGGTATCTTAGGGAATAGGCGAAAATATGCGAAATAATCGAAGTGTGGTACCTAGAACTTGCAATGAATAATACCAGTGAATCATATTCATGCGTCTCTTGAGAGCTCAAGTGCGACGAGCGAGCATTGAAGGCACACCCTCAATACAGAAAACATCATCTAGCCCTGAATCATTCCAGCGCATAGCATTCTCCAACAAGCACAGGTGGCCGCTAGTCCATGTCTTCTTGGTCTTTGAGAGGGCACGAAATATGACCTTCTCGCAGGGTCTCGTAGATTGTCTCTCACAGCCGCATGTGCCTTCAGGACTTGAAGACTTATCTGGAAAAGTTTATGAGAGCGTGGCGGTCGCACTAGCACATACACCTCCCACATAACCCCCGAGAAAGACCAGGCAGTTGATCAATTGACCGACTTAGTACTGAGGGATTTCGTTGATATGGATTATCTTCAAAGTCACTCCGCGCCCCGCAAACCAACCTTGCCCTCTTTGGAGGAAAAGGATGGGGGGGCACCAAACGGCGGCACTCGAGGGTTTGGTTGACAAGAATGTCTCAAAATCGCTTTCTGCGGGCAAAGAGTACCACCCATTTGTATTTGTTGGCTTTCTGAATGAACACGGTGGACAAGTTTGTAACCGTTTCCATAATCACCTACGAGTAGATCCTCAGTCGGAAACGTTCCTTAGTGTACAATCCGACAATTTTGTATAGCAGTCGACCTTATTGGAAATAACCACGGGTGAAACTATAGCTCATATTTCCACAAACCATCGTAGGACCCCGTTTGCGACGGACACATGACCCGTGAATATCTTCCATCGTCACCAACCATTCCAACCCTATCTCTTACGAGGTCATTACTGTGTCATGTCCCCTATCTTCTGTCAGAAAGGAATCGGCTTGTACGGGTAGTTGTGATTGTCTGTTCCTGTGTTTATTTGCTTTCGTCTTTGCGAGTGGAGTGAAGGTCAGCGATCTGAGCAGGTGCAAGGTGTTCGCGGATGGGAGAGAGCAAAACATGACGAAATAGACTAAAGATGGGAATGGATACGTTTATCATCCTAAAACTGATAATGCCTCCCACAATCAAATACGAATGGAGCCTTAGCTGAAATCATAGACTGAGTATGGTTGGCCAGGTAGTATTATCATTATTGTTGAAGATTTTGCGAAAACCCCATACTCCCATAAACAGGCGAATTAGGACCCTGCCCCAACGCCATCGTCTGCGACGGTACTTCACTGTCATTCCCTGCTATTGTCTGCATATGAGACAACTGTTGTAGTGGAGTTGGTGCTGTTGCAGAACCAGTAATCCCACTCCATCCTTCCTCCCAATTACCCATCCCCATATAGTTGCGAGACCACCAGTCTTGACTTTCGTCCACGAGGTTTGTAGTTGAACCGTCGAAGCCACCAGTCATTGGGGATGCATCTGTACCGGCAGATGGACTTGTTTGTTGGTTATCCATTGGATTGGCATCGTACCACGCATCATGCTGTGTGAAAGGAACGGCTTGAACAGGGTGGAAAAGATGGGATACCGGTCGTAGATAGGTTGGTTCTGGTACGAACTGGTTATCGGGCCTTTGCCGCTGGATGCTCACTGGGCGACTTGGCGGCTGCGTAGCGGCGACCGGTGTAGGGATGGTGTTTCCTTGCTGGTACTGAGGTGTCATCGGCATAGCCAAGCCTGCGGAGATGGACTGGAAGTTGCTTTGCTGAGAAAGCGCGGGATGCGACGATGGCGAGTTGATTGTAGCGGTGGGCATACGAGGAGGCGTTGCCGCTGGCGGAGATTCCTCCGAAATCGCGGACGGGGATGTTGGTTGATCCCAGGATCCCCAGGATCCCCATTTGGCATGTGTACGTTCAAAGATGATAGACGCCTCCTGCGGCAATAGGGCTTGCCACTTATTGGCAGATATGTCCAGAATGCGAAGGGTGCGCCGTGCGCAGAGCCAGCTTTCAGCCATTTCCTCGAGATTCCGGAGCCCATGGATAATGTCCCTCTGGGCATTCTTCTCTGGCAGGTTCAGAAGATGAATGGTGCAGGCGGTGTGTGCAATGTAGACTGCAATGTTGCAAATTTGTTGGAAGCCATATGTACGCTTGTACATCCGAAGCAGCTTCGAGATGGCAGAAGCAGATTGTGTGCATAGTCTACGCGGCGAGACATGTTGAGGAAGTGGCGAAGTCGACCTGTTGTATTTCAAAAAGGGACGGTATAGATGGATGAGAAGGACTTGATAGAACATGCTTCACATGGTTAGCATAGCCTTCCAACAGTGCGAGCACAACTTACTGCATCACTAGAACCTGAGGGAGCTGTCCCTCTTTAGGTTCCAATTCATGAGGCAATCCCTTCTTCCACGCTTCAAGACGAGTATGGACCTCGCTGAGTTTCTTGAGCTCCAGTTGTTTAGAAGGCGTCTTTTCCGCAGATGGTGGGAGATAGAAGAAAATGAGCAAGTCACCGCTGATCTCACTCAGCTTGGAGATCTGCAATGCAACGTTTCGTGTCCGTGAGGGCTGCGTGCGTTCGTGATCCACCCCAGAATCCGTGTATGGAGACCAAAGCTCTGCCTCCTCGTTGGGAAGCACATCGATTTTGGGTACGTTGCAGTTGGACGTTGTCAGTTGCGGCTGGCGACCCAAGTAATTGGACCAACACCTATAATAGTTAGCTACTCGAAACGTTTGCAGAGTGCGAAGAGTTGACGAACTTGTCAAAGAGATAGCAGCCCCAGAACGTGATTCGCCGCGCGTCAATTTCCTCCTCATCAAGATTGTGTGTACCATGGCTCGTGACATCAAGGTTCAGGCCCAAATCGAAAGCCATGCGGAAGCTCATGCCGCTGTAAATCCAGCCCTTGCCTTCACGGCCACAGCCAGCTTCCCGGACAGACATGAGCGCCAGCGCTTGAACAGTGCAGAGTTTCACATTCTCGTGCTCGTCATTGGTCAAAACCAATCTCTTTGCTTCCTTAAAGAAATGGTTTCCTGCAGTTGACGAATTGCGGGGATCCTGCAAAGCGCCTTCTCGGGAGCTGAAATGACATCCTAGCGCCAAGATGGCATTGACCAACAGAGAAGAGCAATATTGGCTGGATATCCCTCGAACATAGTCCCGGTAAAACAGGTCTTTGGAGAGGGTTGTGAAGAAGGGGTAATGCCATGTAAAGTACATGGTCATAAGGTGGCTGATAAGCTGCTCATCATTCGTGACATTCGTCCATTGGACAACCGCGAAATCGCCATGCCCAGGTTCATTGGCGGTATTAAGCTCGGAGAGTTCCGACCCGGGTGGTAGGAAGATGAGATTCGAAGTGCCTCCAATGAATTTACGAGAACCGTCCAACATGAGCTCGCTGACCTTGTCCGCTAATTCAGACTCGAACCGATCTGCATGCGTGAGATCCTCGTCGGCAGGCCCAGCATTAGCAGACGCTGCGAGTCCTTTCTCCTGATTCACGATCGATTCTGCTACATCTTCCAGATTGTCGCATGACCGTATCTGTCGCACCAGCTCAAATGCCTCCTCTTCATCCCCGTAATTCAGGATTGCCTGAATGATAGTCTGCAACGTTGTATTCCGAGCCGTTCGTACAGTGCCATTGTCCTTTCTATACACACCTTTTCGACGATGATCGGAGTTGGGGTCGTAGATGCCTAGAAAGGATCAGCTGTGTTCCTTGAAGGGAGATTCTCGGCGATTCTCGTACAGGTCGTGTGATAGACGGAGGAGCAGGCCGCGCAGCTTGGAAGGTTCCCGTCACACTAAGCAGCAATTGTCAGCTTACTCGAGCCGCCAACACACAGCTCCAATGTCTCACTTTTGATTTTCTCCGGCGACAAGCAATGCAAGCAGTACTGACGCAGCGTCTCTTGGACGCCGAACCTTTGTCTTCTGCGCTTGCGTTCTTTGCCTTGCCGGTCACCCGAGGGTCCTTGGGTGCCTGAGAATCCTGCATCCTGTGCAAGGAGTCTTCCATGTTATATATCTAGCAGTGCGCGTGCGGGGGGGGGGGGACGAGTGAGACCAGAAATGGTCATGCTTCGTCGAGTAAGATAGGTAGGTGGTGGGTTAGGCGGTTTTCATGGACGCCGATTCGGACAGAGCATCGCCGCCGCTATAGGGGTTCGCGAGGGACCGATAGAGCGAAGGGTCGACATGCGCACAGCATTTGTTAACTGGAGAGGAAAAGTAAGACGGACGGTTAGATGCTGCATTAAGGCCATATCCATCATCAACCATGGGTAGACAAACTCACAGATCAAGAACAGGGACTTCACCCCACAGTGGAGTAGAGGATCTGAGGTGGAGGGTGTCGAATCGCACAGACGTGTTATTGACGGAGGGCGATAAGAGAGAACAATGGAAGAATCCGTTCTTCTGTAATCGGCCGAGGATTATTGGGCAATCTGATAGAAGCGACGAATCTGATTGACTGCAGTCGCAGTATGTACGGAGTGCAGCATGGAGACGAGCTGTCCGGACTAGCGGGGCTGACTAAGACGTGATGCTAGTTAACTAATTGGACAATTTCGTGCTAAAATCGACAGTTGAGATTGTGTGCTCTATTTTACACAGAAAGAGAGAATTTTGTTAATGTTGGTAGAATTGGGATAAGAACATTGGTATAGCTCATTGTATACTCCGTAGTGCCTGTGCTGTATGAAGATACTCCTATCAGGCTATCAGTCACATGTCAGCCTTAGAGTCCTTAGGCTACTCGGACGAGACATAAACAAAGAAAAAAAGTAATTCTCCTAGATCAAATTTTATTTCAAATGTTCAGCTAACAATATTTTGGTGCGACGAGGATCTCCAGCGCATACATAATAGTAAAGATTCTCATACAGACCGCAGTTGACAGCACAGCAAACAGCAGTCAATCATACAAATGAATACATACCTTATGCTCCACAAAGTCCTTGACATATTAATAGTATTAATGAGAGCTGAAAAGTTTTTTATTATTGTGTTTCAGTCTTTCATATATAACTCGCTAATTATGTATTTATTATTGTTGGTGTGGTTTCGTTCGGTATACAGGGGCGCTAGAAACAACCTTAAACAAGGAAGATTCTAGGGGTTTTCCACGACAGGGTATACCCGGAGTATGGAAGACAGGGGATCTGATACAACAAAAACCTATTATCCAGACAATAGTGTTACATCAATTATACTCTTGAATGCTACTCTACTCCATACATTCAAAATAAGCATCATCGTGCGTAACAGAGTGTAATACTGCATTACACATTGGGCAGACGCAAAAAAAGGCGGTGTCGTGCTGTTTGCTGTTTTGGGCACCTCGGCACTGCCCACCCCGCTTTTCTAGTCTATACACCAATCAAAATTTACCCATACCGTTTGCGTAACGATTCCGCAGCGTCCCGAAAAGACGGCCAACCCTGCGTAGTGTCCCTTGCGGCCAACCACACGCAATGAAGATCTCTGACCGCTCCGGTATATAATACCGGTGTAATGTCGTTACCCGCAGCTTATCTGGCTCGCTTGCCGTCAGCGAAGAATGACATCGCTTCTACTCCGGACTCCGTACTCCGTCTCTTTCTTTCTCTCTAGTTATTAGTCTCCGTGTCTTTTCTCCTTATATTCGTCTGTTTCTCTTCATTTCCCCCTTTTCTATCTGGTCTGCTCCCACGTCTCTTCTTTTCCTTTTTCTGTCCTCCTACATCATCCCCAGTGCATAGTCAGACCTGCAGAGTCGTGTGCCTGCATGCGGACCGCTGCCCAAAGCAGCCCCGGCCATACCCATCTCTGGCTTATTGTTAATCCTCGACAGCCTCACTGCCAACACAGCACCTCTGCTTGCTGTCCATATATCCTCTAGGCTTTTCTCACTGGGAGGGTGCTTCTTTTAAATATTTCTTTTTCCCATACATCCATGTATCTCGTTCAGACACTCGACCAGAGTGCCTCACCAGGCTTAGGCCCTACACGATTGTTCTTTGGTACAAAGGTTTAACAACACTACGCAACAATGATTCCCAAAGCCTTTTTATTTACCCCTGTGGCTTCTCCGAAAAGCAGCTACACCCATGGTGACGGCAAGCGTTGCCGGCGGGATGCTTTCGGAGATGTCTCCGACTACTACGACTTTCCTACCGAGGCTCCTTCGACAACCCACACCAGCCCGGTTGTCATCCCTACAAAATACGGTTCCTCTGTGAGGTCTTCGCGTCAGCTGTCCACCGATAGTGGTCCCAAACCTCCGAAACGATCACAGACCCTCCGTCGGGCTTCATCGAATGTGTCTAGCAAGAGCCGTCCTTTGCCGTCCTCCGTTGCTTCTATCTTGGAAGCCACTGCGATCCCGGCCCCCAGACGTAACCGGCCCACGCGCACAACCCGAAAGCTCCCTCGAAAGATTCATTTGGAGGATTTCAGCAAAATGTTGATGGATGATGTGGAAGAAGACCACCTGTTGGCAGGGACTGGGAACTCCGCCTTGGATCTTTTACTTAGTCCTCCCGAGGAGGCCGAAAGGATGTCCATTACAGGAAGTGATAGTGATATGGCGTCTCTCTCTGGTCGATCTTTGTCGACAGAATCCACACCATCGCTAGATCATGACTTGGACTCGCCGTCGAGTTCGCCGGGTTCGTTCTCTCCATTCAGCCCGAGGAGTCCTTCAGAGAAGAAGTACCGGCGAGTGTCGCTTTCCGAGGATTGTGCTTTCAACCATCCCCTTCTCGATACGCTGCTATCCGATACGGGGGTGGACGACATGGGCCAAACAAAGGCTGCCTTGACAGGTTCAGTCTCCCCTCAGACCCCATCTCCGTCCCGGTCATTCGTACGATTTGGATCCTTCAAATCCAATCTGACAGCATCGTTGCGCGCCATCAAGTCAGCGGCTCAGACTGTGTCCGCATTCACCACCCCGTCCGTTCAGCCGGATGACTTTCTCACTCGATCTTTGTTTACCATCACGCCCGAACTGACGGACGACCGTCGACCTCCACCAATGGACGAACCGCCGTCGCCTGCTCTTCGACGGTATCTGAACCCTATCATCGTCTCGCCGGCCGAGATGCATATCTACCACGATGAACACCCTCATGGGGCTGCTGAGGCTTCCCGAAAAAGCCCGGTTTCCATTCAGATGCAGACTTATCGCCGGAGCGGGGGCCGCAGCAACCGCAAGCGTGCATTTCACCTGGCTGGCGCAAGGGGTCGCGGGAATCGACCATGCTGTCCGTTTGATCCGGAGATTTCTCCCATGTCGCGCCAACGAGAGCCCAGAGAAAACAGCGACTTCTTACGCGTGGTGGTCTTGGAGATGAACATGAGACGCAGCGGCAAGCTCCGAAACGATATCCCCCCACGAGCGCGGGTATGGCTGCCACCCCGCAAAAACAGTCAACCCCGATGTCCATACAACGATTACTTTTACGACGACTTTGAAGAGGAGGACGAGGATGAAAATGGCGTTCCATCGCGATGGATTGGCATCACTGTTTGAATACTTTTTACTTCTTCTGTGTACGACTTATTGCAACTTTTTTTTTTTAACTTTTGGAAATACCATGAGCGAGGCGTTGGGAATTGGGATGTGAAATTGTTTCATATATCACTTGGAATACAGAACAACAGTTATCTTATCTTATTCATTGTTTAATCTATTCATTCTCATGCAACATGCAACATGACGTTCGCCAGCAGGCCCCTGCACTGTGCACAGTACGCTATCCACTTAGCCAAATGGCACATGAACAGGTCATCTGCTTGGATTGGACGTGTACGGCGACAGCACAGAACATACTTGGTAAAAGGATGATACACTTCTTTACTCTGTACATCTCCGGAGCAGAGTCAGAATACACAGGCCTTAGTTCATACATCGTATCATACGACGACCCTTGTCGCGATTCCCGATCCAATCCCACCCACCTCAATCCTTATCTCTAATCTCCACCCAATCGCAAACGCGGGGTATGGCGTCTTTAGTTATACCAACTCTTTAATCATACTCTTATGTTTCGATGCTGATACGCAGCAGCGTGGGGTCCTCGCAGGGTGCAGTACTAGGACTGCACGTGTATACCCTGCATGTACTAATTGGGTGGTATGCGTGGTGTATCTCGGGGGGACATACCCTGGACGCTGTATAGGGCTAGTACAAGTACGGGTGGATGTGGGATGGGACCGGCATTGAGCAGGGATTATTGTATTATGGTATTGTGTATGTGCGTGGTAGCAGGGGTATACATATGACTCATTGGGCTGGTTATCGTGAAATGCTAATATATCTGATCCTTTCTGAGGGAATAAAAAAGAAAAGAAAAGAACAAGGGGAAAAAAAAAAAAAAAAAAAAAAGTAGAGAGGATTATTGGTATCATCGCAAACTAATCAAACAACAATCGTATCATCTAGCAGGTTGAAACCCTACAGCAACGTTTAGCATTAGCACTCATCATATTTACTATGACACAAACAAAGGGTAAAACTCACTCTCCTCATCCAACAACGTCTTTGCATCCCAACTCTCTTCAATCCACTTACTCGTGACAATATGCGGCACTTTCCTCCCCGCGCCTCGGGCCGCCAACGATCCCCGAAACGCGGAAATCTCCGCAGCCGGCGTGTCAGGGTCCATAATTACGTGGGTTATAGCCCTGTCTGCTGTGTCAGAAACAATATCTGCGCCGGCGAATCTTGCGATGTTAGCCGCCGCGACTGTGCGGAGGTTGTGTGCTTGGTCTGTCTCCTTTGTTTCCTCGGTTTGGGGATGGTTGAAGTAGAGCGTAAGACCTCTGAGAAGCCAGCCAATGGGGGTTTCGTAGCCGGAGGATGCGCGTTCTTGGATGCGTACGGTGATTTTGGTGATTGTGTCGGGGCATTGTGAGCTGTCGAAGTTATGTTGTTTGCTCATTTGTTCAAGGATGTCCTTGAGTTCGTTGGCTGTCGTGTCCCGGGCGTAGCTGTCGTTGAACTGGTCGAGGTTTGATTCGACTTCTTCTTGTTTATTCGCTGTCATGAAGAACATATGCCTGGTTCTTGTGAGCGTTATCTTCAACAGCAGAAGTGCAGGTGTATGCAAACCTTGCTTCAAGGGGGAGTAGTAGGTCTGGGTGACCTGCATCGACTGTGTTTTGCTTGACACATTCCATAAGCCATGAGGGTCGGATAATATTAATTTCGCCGCTTTTCTGAAGTGATGCAACTTTCACCGTTCCTGGATTGTGTCAATTTGTCTCTGTTAGGTATCTTCACCGAGATGGATGTGGCATACTTCTATCCGCAACGCAAATAGTGTTCGGTGCAGCAGTGCTCGTCTGAAAGAATTTGCCTCCATTGGCTTTGACAAGCTGCTCCAGCTCAGCTTTCGACTTCTTCTCTGGTACGCTTGAATCCGTCAAGATATCTGATATTGTCAGCAGAGCTCCTATGTGAGAAGGCGTCGACATACAGAAGTTTAACCCCTCAAAAATACGACCAGACGGTCCAACGTATCCAACCTCCCTGTCTGCATTGTTTCCCGCTATATCGAGAGGCTTCTTCGTCGTCCTCTTAACCCGCTTCTTGCGACCGTTATCAACACTGAACTCCTTCTCCTTATGCTCCTGTTCCACATTCGATTTGAGATCGAGGAATTCCTGGACAGAAAGAGCACTCTTCCAGTCCTTGTCGCTGCGTAGTCTCTTAAATCGCGGGAACCGCAGAGTCAGTCCTATTCGAAACTGGTCGCTAACAGAAACCGATGCGGCCTTGACACAGAGAACAACCGAGTCATCTGGCTTGATCCACACGTCTGGCCGTTCGTACTGTGCATCCCCACCAGCCAGCTCGATGTATGTCGTGGGTGGTTTCTTCGGATCCCAATCCATCCATTTACCGTCTGTGTGATGGCGGACGTTCGCATAGTCTTGTGCGTTGAAACCTCCACCAACCTTGCAGAAGGAGTAACATTTCATGGGATTGGTATTTTGTGAGCTCTGGGCGCCGTCGACACGCAGTCCACACAAAAAGCTGGAAAGAGAACCTCCCCGACGACCGCTACCGTAGTACCCACCGACCACGATGAGATCCAAAGATTCGCCAAATTCAGTCATGTACTCTGGCTTCACCTTCATCCAGTCGTCGTGTCTCTCGTTCAGCCGGTAAGGGGATCTAGGGCTTTTCAGCACCAGCCCTTCAGAGGCTTCTGCGACAACTGTCCTAAGAGCGGTCTCGATCTCTGCAGTAGTAGTGGCCTCTTGATAAGGATGTATCTCAAGCCTCCGGTTAACCGGTTTAACAGCCTTTTGCAAGGCATTCCGACGGTCACGGAGGGTATATTTCGTCACGTCCCGTCCGTTCAGGTACAAGAGATCAAAAACACGAAACAGAGGCCGTGGTCCCGTCGAAAAAGGATTCCGCTGCTCAGCTAGCGCAGCCGTCTTCAGTGTACCGAATGGAACAGGCGCATCCTGCTCAGGGTCCCAGGTGATCATCTCACCATCCAGAATCACGCTCTGTACACCATCCACAAATGCATCCCCGAGGTGTCTGGTCAGGGCGCCGTTTTCGTCGTGTATCCCGTTCCCGTAGAGATACGTGTAGTCCTTGGCCTTTCTTGACCAGAAGCCAAACCTCCGACCTCCAGGTAACGAATTGTCAGGCGCCATATGCAGCTGCATACGTTCTCCATCGAGCTTCTCTTCGATCCAGAAGACCTGATCATCTTCGGTTGGCCTCATTCGGCTGATCATCTTCTCCAACGAATGCATTTGAAACTGTGCCAGTTGGGGTTGGAAGCATTGCATCAACGTTATGCCCCGGTCTTCTGCCTCCAGCCGAAGATTGGGGTCGTGGAGTTCCCAGCAGACGCGCCGCAAGCTGCTAGAGATACTATACAAGTTCTCTGCGTCCGAATGCCACACGTCAAAGAATGTCCGCTCCGTGGCTCCAACCTTCATCTGTCGCAAGATAATCCGGATCAACCACAAGAGCTCCTCGGGACTCATTCGACGATATAATTCAGCCAAGATAGGCAACTGATTTTCTTCCTTTGAGGCCGCAGACAACTGATCGAGCCTTTCATTGACCTCTTCGATCAGCATGCTACCGGGTTCTGTCCGCATGGGTCGTTTCGAAATCACGTCGTAACATCGACCTGCAAAATCGCCAGCCATTCGATTCGCTGCTGTCTGTCCTGGTAGCTTCCAATTCAGAAGATTAAAACCGTCCTCGGAGTTTTTATCGATCTTCATGATCTTCACGAACATCTTCCCGATCACCTTCTCTTTCATACCATACATCGCGCGATCCCGGTCTTTGTCCGGGAGGATTAACCGGAAGGCCGGGTAAATGTCGTCGCCCACGTCCCTCCTCCACCGCGATATGAATCGCTCTATTACATCACGTCGCCTTTCGAGGGGGTTCAAATTCGCTGCAGACTTTCCGCTAGGACCGGCTTTCCGGCGCGCGGGGCCTTGCCCTGCGGGCTTCTTCTTGATTTCGCTGAGCGGGTTGAAGAGGTTAAGAAAGAGTTCGTGAAAAGGGAGTGTAGGAGAATGATTTTGTGGGCGGTTTGGGAATCTACCATTGTAGCGTTAGTTTGGATGAACTTCCCAGACCAAGCTAGACTCTTACTTCTCGTCAAGGTCTTCATTTTGCTCCCCAGCCGCAGACCCCATAACCTCGTCTGAATCCATGTTTCCGACAATTACCTCCCGTGATTTGCCCAAGATGGTTTGCGATGAAAGAGAAGCTGGTTATTTTATGTTTCACCAAGTCCTAGGCTGCAGCGCCGATAAGATAAGGAAGCATGTGACGTGACATCATCCGGTGCCTGGTGCCTGAGGAACATGAAAGACATTCTAACTATTACTTCTAGCTACATAGTACTTAATCTCCGATATGCAGCAAGCTTGGGCAGCAGGAAACAGCGGTGTCTACTCTAGACTTTACCAGGTGCTCTGTCATGGCAATACAACTCTTGTGTTGGGAAATAACACTGTGCAAAGCTATGCTGTCCTTGACGCGGGCCCCGTGCTCAACCAACATGTTGGTAATGGTTTCGTCGCAGCGGGTGACAGCTGGCATTCCTAGGGCTTTGCGGAGGCCTGGTTGTGATTGTGGGGAAGATATCTTGATATAAGAGTGATCTACGAAAAGCATCCGCTATTATATGAGCCTTGCTAGGTTCGGAAAGAATTCAGTCAGAATGACAGAGGATGCGAGATGTCAAGATATTAGCAAAGCGCAGCATTAATACATCTATATTTAATATCCATGCTCCCGACTCTATCATAGCATATGTCTAGCTGATAACCCATGAGGTGGCCATCAGTTGGGCCAAGGAGATCTACCGAAGTCGTGGAGCTGGAGGGCGTAGTGATGGCTCAGGACGCGACGAACGAGGATGGCCGTATTTCTATTGGTGTTACACAAAAACATGATGTGAGAGCAATGAAACAAAGGAATCTGAGAGAGATGCCCAGAAAAACAGGACGCAAAATGAGGAGAGATATTGGGACTCGATAGTTATAACTAGTTAACTAGGCAGTGACCACCCTGATGAGTCAGCACCACCGCTCTCCCAGCCTCGCCTTTCTGAGAACGTCCATCGGGTCTTTTATTCACAAAACGGCTTATAACTAATTCAATTCACCTTTGGGCAGTTTTCATCGTGCCCCCAGACTCCTCTTACTCTCCATGTATGGCGAGAACGCAGTCCTCTGCTTCGATCCGCAGCAACCAGACGCACCATGTCCCTGACGGTATCAACTTGGCGGCGCTTCAAGGAGCGACACTCGCATTCACCAACAAACCTTCCAAAGAAGCTCCATCGCAAGGTGTTAAGAACAGAATCCAAACCATGGGAACCGCCGTCTTTCCAGATATTCAACCACCACGCTCGCATCATCATGATGCTCCGAGCCGATCATTATCCCCTTCCGATGCCGACTCCATTCCAGCACCGGAAGCGGGTTCTGTCAAGGACAAGATCGGGAGGTTCGTGGCGCACTCTCGCGGATCGAGTCCGTTGAGTCAAAATAACGATAATACACTGGAGGACGTCAAACTCCCGGTCCGATCACGAACGCCGCAACTCGTCGCCGCCCGATTGGCAGCGGAACGGTCCCCCGTACGGAACGAGAAGAAACCTGCCGGAGGCATAATGCATGCGCAGAGCAGACAGGAACCGGTCTTGGCTGCGCCAAAGCCAATTCGAAACCCAGCTGCTTCCAGCCCAGCACTCCAAAACCTATTACGAGAAGACCGAGAACCGCCCCCGTTGCCTCAAAAGCCGCCGGTCATTCCGCGAAAGCCGGTCATGTCTCCGACTTCCTCGTCTTCCAATATTGCTCGGATTGCTGCAACAAGGTCTACCTATTCTCCATCCCCTACACCTAGCTCGCAGAAGCTATTCCAACCGCCGCTCCCCCCAAGATCGAGCACATTTCCCACAGCACCGCAGAACAATGATGTCAATGACAAGACAACGAATGATTCCCGTACTAGTCTGAGTTCGCGACCCCTTTCGCCCAGGCCTGCTCTACCACCTCGACCTCGACCAAATGGTTCCCCCGTTTCTCGGGGCCTTCCCCGAAGCCAGGGGATCATAATGCAAGACCTCGAACCCTCCAAACCAATCCCAACACCCAGCATGGCATCGCTATCGACCGCCTCGCATAACAACAGCAGCACAAGCACACTGGACAAATCAAGCGGCATGGACACAGAATCACTATCCGACGCCATTGTCGCTTCGTCCATCGCATCATCCCACGCACCCCCGTCGAAAAAGATACCCCCGCCCCCGCCCAAACCCCGAAGAAGATCCCGTTCTCGCTCCATCCTAAACAGCCTGGGCCACTTCCGCAGTAACTCCAATGATACCAATCGCTCCCACTCACGACTCCCGAGCCCTCCCAAAGGCATGCGCCAAACGCTCCGCGATCCACCCAAACCGGAACCCGCGGAGCAAAACCACCACCACCTACTCAGACATCCCCACAAACACCACGAAGGCGATCGCAAACGCTGGCAAAGCGCCGTGGGCGAACAAGAACGCAAGCGCTACGAAGGCGTGTGGGCCGCCAACAAGGGACACCTAATCCCCATACCCCCACTTCCGTCCCAAGCAAAAGCCCTCGGTCCCAACGCTGTCGCATACTACCAAGAGATCCGAACAAGATATCCAACCAACACATCGGACATGGTGCTTAACCTGGTCGTGCGCGATATCTGGTCGCGCAGCCGTCTGTCTGAAACCGTGCTATCGCAGATCTGGAATCTGGTTGATAGACAGAAAAACGGGCTTTTGGACAGGGAAGAGTTTGTGGTGGGAATGTGGTTAATTGATCAGTCGCTCAAGGGGCACAAGTTGCCTTTTAGAGTACCGGATAGTGTTTGGGATAGTGTTCGGCGGCTTTCGGGAGTTAAGCCGCCTTCCTTGGTATGATTTAATAGATATGAGCCTGATCTAGGGCTGGCGTATGTATGAGTTTGGAGTCTTTTGGATTAGATTTGACTGGATTTGCTTGGATGATACTGTATTAATATCTGCATATACCACCAACATATACGACGAACTGCTGTATCTAGATAATGCTTTTTGCTATAATACTGTTTTGAATAATAAAAAAATAAAAAAAACAACCGATGAATATTCAAAACATTCAATTATCAGTCATTTCAATGTCAAACTTATGGTCTTGACGGAATATAAAAGCCACAGCTAGGAAGGCGACATAAGCCGCAGACGACTCTCTTCGCGGTGAAGCCTTTGGAAGAGGGTAGATAGCCATTGCCTGCTGTGTGATCCAGAACATTGACGCTGTTTGTTGAGTCACAAAAGGTTAATCTGGTGATGTTTGCGGATGCGATTTATGGCTATAAGAGAGCCATCGGTGAAACTGACGAGAGTGTTTCAGAGCAAAGACGCAGCATTGACAAATGCATAAAACAAAACAGCCACTCTTGAGGGCTTTTCTTCATGGGATTCTTGCAATAGCAAGACAAGCGGGCTTGGGACATCCCTGCTTAGTATGATATACTAGAGGTCGAGTTGGGATATCGAAGTGGAGAGACGTATATCAAGAGTGCCGCCTCAGAAAAAACGGTCTCTGTTTCTTCGGTTGGTGATTTGTAAAATGGGTCTTGACCCAGACAGCACTATATGATTTGTGGGCTAACTTAGGCCCTTTTCCATCTTTATGCCCGTATATGGTCTTTTCGTGGTATACGAGGAAGTCTGAGGGAAACATAAATCGGACGATACGCCGTCTTCTATCTCTCTTTATTTTTAACCCAGCGTAGCAGGATGGATCGATTTTGGGACAACCTTGCTTGGGATGAACAGCTATGGGGTGAAGGAAGGAAAAAGGAGGATCAAAAGAGAAAAACGAAAGGAAGAAAGAAAAAGGATTGATTCACTGGGTTGGCTGATAGGCAAGCCTACATACATACTCCCAATTCAACCAACCATAGACTCTTTATCACGTGCTTATATACAACCATCGTCAACCTGACCATTTCTCATTTTTCTTTAATATACCAAGTAGACTATATCCTCAGATGCATTTCCAAGAAAATGAACAAAAAGTATTTACCGCTTCCCCGAAGCGTCGCGAAAGAGACCGTTCTCGAAGTTCTCCACAACCATGGACTCCTAATCCGAACCATATGGTCTTATTCAACGATAATGTCCAGCAAAGCAAGATCAAATGAAACAACAGCTATCGTCAAAACCCTTCCCACTGGCAATGTTAAAATCACCTGTACCAACATCGACGATGGCGTCTCCCTCTTACAGGAGCTACAGCATGGGATCAGCTTTCTGACACGCTGAATGGTGACAAAAACAGCACGGAGGGTCAAAAAAAAAAGTGGAATCTGAAACGACGGGTTATACCTTGGAAGAAGAGAACATAATCCGGAATACACCACTGACTAAGTGCATGAACAATCTCTTTGGTGCTTATAATCCATTAAAAGACTCATTGGTGGCGCTTTTGAAGGGTGTTGTTGCTAAGGCAGAATTTGAACATGGCTGGTGGTAGGATTTCCTATTACGATAATGGGAAGTTCAAGCATGATTGATGTTGACGTCCGTCCTTCGCTTGTTTCTTATGATCTATAATGGAATCTATGGGTTTATATTACTTCTTTTATCATATACATGGCGCTTCTCTTTTATTCAGGTTGCGAACTATGCCTCTAAAGTCAGTATGCGGTTCGCAGATCGCGAGACACCGCGAGGTTTTGGTTGACGATATGATATAAAGAAACATATCCAGCTTCTCTCGTCATCACCAGCATCTGTTAGGTCGTTCCCTTGATGTGAATGATACCAACAGTAGACCTCTATCTCGGGTGAAGTTTATGACCTCCCAGTCATGCATATCAATGGCCAGCAGCATGGCGGAAACTGTATTAGGGCTCGACTTCATCGTACGTTCCCTTTTTTTTTTTTTTTTTTTTTTTTTTTTTTCATTCGAATGACTTCTCGTGATGAGCGAGACGGCTATACTTCCGATCTGGGTTAGGGTTAACAGCGAATCGACGGACAGCGTAGATAATCTCCAAACTTATTGATTCCCATGATGTTGTTCTTTGGGGTATAACGAAATACGTATTAAAATTTCTCTCAGAAATACCTGGTTCCTTGAGGTCTTGCTGTACGTCCCATTCTTGTTCAATTGATGAGATTATATATTTACACGTATGCATCTCAGAAACCACCCACGCTAATGTCAAAGAGCCGAGTGCCAACATATTAACCGAAACAGACCATTACCCGTACGTGAATGATAATGTAGAAGGTATAAAAAGGGAGAAAATAAGAAAAGCAAGAAATAATGTGGGAGTCTAATCGCTCTTTTCATCACCACCAGCACCAGCTTCAGCAGCGCCAGTATCTTCGTCATTAGCCTTCTCACCGGCCGACGACGATGGAGGAACAGGTGATGAAACCCCAGAAACAGGCGCAGACTTTTCCTGGTTAGCATCAGGGAAAATCTCCGCGAAGAGAGCGGGGAGGAATCGCTCCAAGCGCTTCTTAGTCTCAACCCAGATCTGCTCCTTGCTGGCGTCTTGGGATGGCGGGACCAAGTGGCCTCCATCTGCCATGACCAGGAGGATGTTCTTGAGACTTTCGGGGATGGCTTCCTCCTGTAAAACTGTTAGACATTGAACTATAGGTGGAGGGGAAAAAACAGGAACATACCAGACTATCACCTTGGCCGCTGTTCATCATTCGGTCAAGGATATCCAAGATCTTCAACCATAGATCCAACATGGCATCCTGGTTCGGGAGCTGATCGAGATAGCGGAGGAAGATCTTGCAGATCAAAGTTGCTGCTTGTACACGAGTCTCGCTCATTCCACGCGGGTCCGAATGGTAGGTCTCGGGCTTCAGCAATCGTAGGACAAGCGGGAAGAGGACCTGGTCGAAGATAGAAGTCCAGTCCTTATCGTCACCGGAAATCAACTCGACGGACAGAAGCGCGCGCTGGAGTGTGGATATGGCGTGGTGTCGGATGTCCCTGCAAGGGTTGATGCACTGGGAGGTCAAGGTTTGGAAAATGGGAGTCCAGTACGCAGACCAAGCTATTCAGAAGTCAGTAACCGCCCTTTCTTCGCAGGATATTTCTGTACGTACCCTCAGTCTTTTCCAGGTGTGACTGGGAGATAAGTGCGGGAGCACGCCTGGTTAGGTGATAAATCAAACCAATGGCCTTGACACCGCGAGCAACAACCTGGTTTTCACTATTTATTTTGTCAGTTCTGACCGCAAAGAATACATTCAACGAAAAGAGCAAAAGCATACCTTTGCTTCGGCTGCTTAACACCCTTGGTCCGTCGAGAAAGTGCGTCTCTCTGCCTCTCTTCGAATGCACCAACGCTACCAGCAGAGATGAATTCATTCGCGAGACCAACGGCGGACTCATAGTTATCTGCACTGACAATCGGAGGCGTGGAGTCAACGATGGTCTGAAGAAGCTCATAAACCAATGGCGCAGCCTCTGCGTGCTGATGCAGCCGCTGCAAAATCGACCAGAAGTCAGGAGAAACAGTGATCTGGTTTCTCAAGAGGCCTGGATCAGTGACGCATTGCGAAAGAGCATTCACGATCGGAATCGCGACACTCTCAAGGATATCCTGATCGAAACTGGAGATTCCGTGAAGAATGACGGGTACTCGCATGAACGGTTGTTCCTGGAAGATAGTCAGCTACATTTTAACTACTTCAAAAAATGAACAAAACAATGAGAAGCCCTTACATGACCAAGGCGCAACAGGTTTAGCAGATAGGTGATGATTCGCGACAATGCAAGTGGGTGGATGTTCCTGGCATCTCGAATGAACGCCTGCAAGGAAGTCGCCAGCGACTCCCCAGCCGTTCCCATCGTTTCCTCATCGCGAAGCGTGAGTATGGTTGCCCACTCCAGAAGGTAAATCATTGCGGGATCGTAACCGGGTTGGTTAGGGTCGACTTTGCCGTTTGCCATCCGCGATGCAGGTCGTTCGTGCTTCACGACAATGACTGCCGGGGTAGATTCTTCAGGCAAGAGAGCGATCAGAGATTCCACTAATGACGCGACAGCCGGCACGGGGAGAGACCTGATGTTGGCCACAACATCGTCGATAGCACACGCGGTCACACAGTCCACTGTACACAGCGTGTTGTCGAGTTCTTCGTCTGATGGTTCAGGAGGGTCGTCGGCTGCGTAGCTCGAGAGATAAGACGTGAAAGCTGATAACAGGCCGGTATCATTTGCACGGTTGACACGGTCCACGACCTGTGAAGGGGGTTGCAGAGGAATTTGAGAAATGTTGAGTTCAGCATTATCAAAGGGTGGAATGAGGGAATTGATGAATAGGTTACTGAGGATTCGAACAACATATTTCCAGCTGTTTCGGGGCACGGATTCATTGCCGCGTAGAACACGGAAGAGAACCACAGCAGCCAGCTGTGCTCTGAAATCCCTCCCAAGCTTGACTGCCAGCTCGCTGACCATAACGCTCTTCTTTCCGGCTTGTACCTCGGTGTTCAAGGCCGTACTGGGAGGATTTTCCGTGGAGAGCGTGCTAATGGAAGCCAAGCAGAAAATGATCCGATCAAATGCCTCAGTCAAACCATATCTGGCCGCGATTTGCGCACATTGGTCGAACCCCATGACGACTCTGGAGTAGACTGCATCATCCGAAGCGGACATGAAAACATATGAAAGAGTTGCAACAACCGGCCTCCAGGTGGCCTCGAACATTTCCGCATCGTAGAGGTTGGTTTCGCCAACCACCAAGTCTTCCGCCGCCGAGGACTTGAGCAATAGCTCCTTCCAAGCATAGTCAAACGCATGCTGGTTTTCGTGCTCATCGGGCAAGATAATCTCGTTATGTTTGATGGAGTTATAGATCTCCTGGAGAAATTCTGGTGCAAAGTCGCCTCCTGCGTTTACTCCGCGCAAGTTTCGGGAGAAGCTTTCGCAAGACATGCGATTTTGCGACTTGATGTTCGGGTTGTACAGCTCAGTGTTCAGCATGATAATACCATAGGTCAGCACGAACAGAGAATCCTTGTCAGCAACGCCCTCGGGCTGGGCTTTCTGCACGTATTTATCGGAGAAGGTGGTTACAATCCGTTCAATCAACGGAGACTCGCCAGGCAGACGGAAAGCGCCCAGAAGGTCGCGCAGAGCCTCAACAACATTCTTGCCCGCGAAATCAAAGAGGTCAACGAACGCATCCAGGAGAGCTTCATTGGATCGCTTCGATATGTATTCTCCCAGGATCTTCTTCGACACCCTGCTTGTTCCCTTCAAAAATCTCGCGACCTGCGTGGGGTCATCGGGATTCTCGATGATTCCTTGTGCAGTGAGGTGGGCAATTCCGGCCTTGGGGTCTTCGTTGAATTTCTGCGTGCCTTGGACGATGATCTTCTTTCTTCGACGCTGGCTTCGTAGTCTATCTAGAGACGGGAAGTCCTCAAGTTCCGACTCGTCATCTAATCGGTCATGAATGAACTGCACGTAACTAAGAAGCGCATCCAAGCAGAGAGGCGGAACATTGGTTGTGCTCCAAGTTGCCGAGTCCGGAAACGCATTTCGGGAGAGAAGGCCGATCATATCTTCGCACAAATCCGCTCGGTCCGGGTCACAATCATAGTTGACGAACAACTCCGGCATAAAGGTTGGGATGCGAGCCAAGACGCCAATGCTCTCCACCATTGCTTCGCGAGTCTCCGGTCTGCGTGAGCCTCCCTCAAGTCCGAGTTTCTGACGGTCCTTTACAGGAACCGGCGTAGATCGTCCACTGCTGGTCTGAGAAGGCGCAGGTTTGACTAATTTAGGAGCTTGGGGAATGCCATCATAGAGCGCTGGATCGATACCTGGTTCTCTGGGAATGTCGACCCGAGGATGAAGACAGGCTACTAGATACGAAAGGTACAATTCTTGCTGAAGCTTAAGCACCGGACGACAGGTCAACAGCAGAGTACCAGCGATCCTCAACGACTCGGTGAGAATGGCCATATTTTCTGAGCGAACTAGCTGGAAGAGGTGTCGACAAAGGTCATCTTTGGCCAATGCGGCCAGACTGGGATGTTTGGCGATAGATGGACCAGCCACCTCGAGGGCGACATCGATGATTCTCAACGCCATCACCCGCATTGGATCCGTATGCTGTCGGTTGTGGGGGTCTAAGAGGTCGATCAGAACACGAAACAGTTCCTTAATTGATGGCAGCGAATAAGGTGTGACTTCGTCTTGCTCGCTATCATGTGGGTTCGGCGGGGCAGCGACAGCACTTCCGTTAGCAGCCTGGTCCGGGATCCCTTCATCCCCACTGATGCGTTCGCGCTCCGGGGTAGCTGTATCGGACCCCATGGCGGATGGATGTTGCGAGGTGACCGTGTCTCCATTTACAGAGGGGTCCATTCTGAAATTGGGCGTTTTGCCCTCCCCCGTGGATTCCTGCCGTGAGGGATCATTCGGGTCTGACGGTGAGGGCACTTCCAGTTGAGAGAGACGCATGAATATAACCTGGCACATGTTGACCATGGCCATCTCCGCTGACCGCCGCAAGACTTCGGACAGACGGACCTGACAGCACATGCTCAGGCCGGTTTCCATCATCTCGCAGACACTCTCATCCCCCAGTAGCTCACCCTCGGGCCGTGACAGTATGCCCTCCATTAAGTTCAAAATGCGCAACAACACGATCTCGTCGGCGGAGGAGTCGCTGGCTTCAAATCGACAATGGGTCGTGGCGGCGGACAAAAGCTGCATGGCCATTGAAATTCGGGGGGAGTTCCGATTAACGATATCGTAGGAGAAGAATTTAGTGATAGCGACCAGCGCAAGCGAGGTAATGGGGGCGGAGGTCGAGGAGGAACGGATGACCTGCAAGAATGGATGCAGCAACGCCGGGGTATCGAAGGTGCGAATATCTCTGCATCCTTTAAGATCACTGCGCAGACGAGTAAAGGCTGATATTAAGGGATTGTCCTGCATGCTCTTTCCTTTCTTCCCCCGCAGACCCCATCGATTGGCCAAGGCATGGTCTTCGTCCAGGGCCGCCCTCAACCTGGGGGTCGATGGCGCACCGCTTCGAGGACTCGGAGGGGACGAGGTGTTTTGTTGGGCATCACGGTCGTAGACTCTGGAGACGGCGGACGACCCGCCTAGGATAGCGGAGACGGAGGAGTGAGCCCAGCGGGCATGTTTGCGCATAGCAGAAGTGACGGTGATACATTCTGTTGTCACAAGGGCCACTGGATCGACCGCAATGGGGAGCGGATGTGCTGCCATGGCGGTAGCACAATTAAGGAGTGTAGATTATGAGAATTAAAAGAGAGTGTGTGGAAGAGAGGTCCACGACTCGAGAGAATGAGTGAAGTGAGGCTCTTTCGGGGAACAGCTGGTCTTTGAGTGGTTTCCCGATACGGACTAGCGGGGATCTCTCCACCGCCTTGGATATCTTTAGTATGGAGTATGGTTTCTTCACAACACAACATTCCTCCGTTGTCATCAGTTTTGATACATACAACATAGTTCCTCTAGTCGCTTCTAGCTAGGGATCCAGATGACAAAATGAAGACATCCTAAGATGAATGGGGTTGATCAACCACCTCACGTGTGATCTGCATACTCGTCCTACGGAGTAACTCTGGGTGACGACGGAAAAGACACGCTTCCGCGTGGTGTTTGGATTAAAAACTGTGGTCTTTTCACCCTGGGGTCGCCGCTTTAACAGCGCATCTTGACTATACTAGATTCGTCTTAGTTCAATATCTAGTCTATACCTGGCGCATACATCATGAGTGTAAAGGTGGAGGATAAAATGGCCGTCGTCTGTCCGTACACGGTCTTTCTTAATTTCCATTGTTGTTCCATCCAAGAAATTTTGCCAAATTCTACGACTCCCTCAATCATAAACCTCGCTACCACACTGAAAAAAGTTCATTATACCGCTAGACCAATGACTCGGGGAAGCAAAACAAAAATAGCAGGCCAGGTAGACTGGAACAGCTTCGTCCAACAGCCTGATGCCCATTTCGAGAGTAATTTCGCTGAATCAACGAAACGAAATATGCATTTCGTGCGAAGCAATTTCCAAAGGTGCGTCTTTGCTGCTGTGTATAGCTTTTTGGCTGCTAATCCAACTCTTTAAGGTACTTCGATGCTTCAGCCGCCGGATTACAAGTACTGGCTCAGGAATGTCACGCTGAAACTTATCGAAGGGTTCCTTCGTTGGTACCTTGAGAACCATAATGCTGAGTACCAGTCAGGCTTTCTGGTCTTTGCACGATACTGGAGAGTGTTTTGGTGCGAGGAAATGGACCGCCTCTTTCCTTATGATCTAAGACGGAAGATGATAAACGTAAGTGAATATCCAAGATAAGTTAGGATCAAGACTTATTTAGTAAGCTTGTGTGCACTGCCCTTACCGACGAGTACGACCTGGGACCTGGGAGCAAAGACACAGCCGTCAGTCAATATTGATGACCTTCTCTTCACTACCTACCATCTCATGGCTGTATCTAACGTATATTTTCCCACTGTATGGTGTCGATACCAGCTCGGCACACTCAGAAAGATGATGACCTCAACATCTGCGCGCCCTGGGACATTAGTCGAGTCTTCTGGGTATATGAGAAGCAATGATGCACTGAAGTGGAAGGATATCAAGCTCTATATGGTGAAGCATCCAGAAGACCCTACATGTCAGGTCCTTCTCATGGGGGTGACGCATAGACTGAATAAGGGCAAGAGAAACAAGGGTGTTCCATGAGTCTAGAACCCTATGGATGCCGACATCTCCTAACCCTCCAAAGACCAGTCTTCACATGCACAGAATGGAATGATAATCCTACCGAGCACTCCACCACACTGTTTTTACCAGATTCAGCCCCTGAATCTGTGATAGTTCTTCATACCGCTCATACATTCATTCTCTCCCATTCATACTGCCATAACTAACAGAGTAGCTATATCAATAGTAGTCCTCTGCAGCCTCATATTGCCTTCTCCTCCGCCTCTGATTGGCTGTCCGACCGCAGCAGGATCCACCCGTTCTTCACTTGCTTGTGGATTACGTTAGTAGTCTTGGCTCGCCGCCCACGATGGCTGAGTGAGTTGAGAGACCTTTGCTTTCTCACTATAAGCACCTATTATTATTCCTGGGCATTCAACATGATTGTCACTGATAAGGAAATATTTAACCCCTCTGTCCCAGATCTGCCCTCTAAAGACCAAGTCATTAAACTGTGCCGCCAGAAAGGTCTCAACTATAATTGTCTCACGTACACTACTGCGAATGGGAAGATCTTCTTCATCAAGTATAACAATGCTAAAATGGCCGAAGCCCATGCTCACCTGTTCTTTTACTCTTGCATCAACGCAAATCCTCAGTCGACCATCCGCATCCCGGAACTCTACCGTGCCTGGCTCCCAGATCATAGCTCGAGCGCGTACCTTGTGATGGAATACATCGATATCCATCACTTTGCGTCCGACGAAGAGCGGGCGAAGGCGCTGGCCGAGCTGATCGCCGTGAAGCCGCCGCCGGGGGTCTTTGGAAGCTTTGGGCCACCGGGCGGATATATCAGACATATGTTTTTTAAAGATCGAGAGGCAGCAAAGATATATTCTTCGGTGCAAGAGCTGCAGGATTCCATTAATCGTGTAAGCTTCACCTAGTGGATGTTCCATCCCGCGCCTTGGTTTACGATGCGAAGAAGCATTTGAATATCGGCCGCAGTGGAGTGCACATCGCCTATAGAAGGATGGATGTTTATCGCTAACTACAACTCCATAGCTTCTTCAAAATCTCAGCTCCGGGACTGGTCAGGATTGTGGTACGGTGGATTTCAGCAATGAGCCATTATTGTGCTACTACGGCGATATCTACCGAGAGAACTTCCCCGTCGACCGGTCTGGGAATCTCTGGGTCGTCGATTTTGACACCACAGGCGTGCTTCCAGCGAGCTTTGCTAGCTGGCCTTTGGACACTAAGTATAAGCACCCTCTACCCATTCCCATTCGGAGGACTATCCCACTCAGCACCTCGAAGAACCTGAAGCCTATGTTTCGAGCTTATCGGTTTAACCAGATGTCTATCGGGTACGCTAGTTCATCTGTATTCCTATGGAAGGTATATACTCACTCTCTGCCTACAGTGAGGTATAAGTTGATGGAAGGGTGGCTTAGGATAGACATCTACATGGTCTATGTGTCACGTGATCTGTCGACCTGAGGGTTGCCAACAGAAATCACTATCACCCTAGATCCCATTCGACCAGCCCCATGGCTTGCGGATGCCGTGGTTGCTCCAGATATAAGCCATCATCACTGACCACGTTCCACTGAGTAGTATTTCCAGTGGGATCGTCAAGCCTTGGGCCTTTTAACATCAAGCAGTCGAATAGGCGGCGTTTACCTGGATGGGTAGTGGGAGTCAATTCACTACTACCTTGAATGAAGCTTGCTCCCCTGTAGTGAATCTTGTTAGCCCACCTGCTGATGTTTAATTCCTCCCTCTTCTCTTTCCCTCTTCCTCATCCAGCACCATCCTTTCCTTGCTGCATATATCACTACAACACAGTCTTTACCCGTCGCTATCATGCGCATCAGGTCGTCCCGGAGGATTATTGGGCTTGATCCTGCAATGCCTCCAAAGCCGCCCCCTCCTCCTGCTCCTGTTGAACGTGACATTACTTACAACGGTGAACATGTACCTCCCTCGCTACTGAACAAGACTATTCAAAGCTGCTTCATTGAAATTCTGGATTACGGCGAAGTCAATTTGCTGGAGGATGACGATTCAGAATATGAACAGAAGATCAAAAACCATGTTGTCTTGAGACTTCTGTTTCACAGGAAGATCATTGAAGGCACCTCTGATGCTCCAAGTGGAACAACTGGTGTCAGGATTGCCTTCGATCTTGTCGGCTCGGCCGCAGGAGCCGGCCCCAATGAAAAAGGTGGAGAATTTCGAGTGAAGACCATTACTTATAGTAATGCTTCCCTCTCAGCTGTGGAGGTTTTCAGTCTTCAGCTTGGCTGGAGCAACCTTACCTTGCGTCAGTTTGTGAGGCCTCCAATAACTCAGCAGATGATGAACTTCTTCTTTGTATTTGATGGACGTGGATACATGGGTTGCTGGGACTGGATGTGAGTACACCAGCTTTTCTTCGCTGTCTATGTCCATGACTTTTGCTAACGAATAGTACTTAGAACTCAATATATCCACGTGCTCGATCTTGGCCACCTCGTCAACCCAATCTTGCCAAACAATGAGACAGTCTACAGGGCCCTGTGCCACAGATACTTGGACAATGGCGGTCGGATTCCTAAACCTGTTGAGAGAGGTCGTTTCGGTACCTGCCAACGGCAATTTATTCTAGATATCATTTATGCCTAGTCAGATGGTGACGGACTACTGCATTTGCGTCAGATTTGCATGAAGGTGTTGATGGAGGTCAATCACGCGGATGGGGCCCATGAGGTTTTTACACCATGACTTTGCGAGATCCTCATTGGGAATGAAAATTTTTGAAGACAACCCTTTTTCCAGCCGGGGCTGGTACTGTACCCAGAGAAACCAATTCCACCTAGTCAGCGACTTAGAGAGGTGCTAGCCATATTAGAGCCAGCCGTGCTCTTATACCCTAAGTACCCTGCTCGGGTTGAGCTCAATCAAACTTGACTAGTATCCGTTCACGGACGACTCGTTCGAGGGCGGACTCTCAATCATGTTCCCTATGTGGTGAAAGGCGATAAGGGAAAACCATTAGGGCCGATAAAGACGGAGCCACTGCTGTCATTATCAGATGGTATCAAGGCATCATTAGCTAGCGAGTTCTCATTGAGTCGCCAGAGCCCAGCTCTCGAACGGCAGGCCCTTGGCCCTCCTGCCCGCGACAGCCACCGGCTCAAACAGAAGCATACTGCCTCACTAGCTCCCTCTAGTAGCAGCTCTCCGCCGCCAGTATAAGATACTGATCCCTTAGTGAGTGGAGCGTATTGTCCGCAATCCTCTCCGCAACCTCGGGGTGGCCAACTAGGAACTTAATCTTGCGGCCTAGATCCGCATAGTCGCGCTCAATGACAATAACATTCACCTCGGGCCCGCCGGCTACAAGCCTTTGCGCGGCTCTGTGTGTGTGCTGTCTTTCAAGACTGAAGACTACTTCAGCAACTGGGACAAGATGTCGGATGAATACTACAACAAAAATCCTACTGTTCTAAACAGCAGCGGATGGCCCGCAAGATCACAGAGGCTCAGGGCCCTCAAAAAACAAAACCAACCCCAGACATAGACATAGACCCGACAACCTTCCAATCCATCGTGTGGAAAACAAGCCCAAATTCCGACCACAACCAGCAGCAGCAGTAACAACAACAACTCCACCCTGCCAGTGAAGGCGAAAAAGTCGCCCTCTGCAAGAACTGGCGCGAGATCTTCAGGTTCTTGAACCCGGCTGTCAGGCAGTCGCAGAGGAAATCTAAGACTTCTCCTTCTGTGACTGCTACTGCGCGCTCAGGCGTGGTCAATGGAAAGAGAGAGGATAGCTCTGATCAGACATCTGGTGTTCTCTCATTGGAGAATCTGCGCAAGAATGAGAATGAGGGAGTTGATTGGGGCAATGCATTGAATACCACGCCAGCAAAGTCGGCGTCGCCTCATATAGCTGAGGCAGTGGCGGAAACTGGGCCTGATGCTAAAATGGTTGATGCCCCTCCTGCTGATGAATCTGGTATGGAAAGGGACTTAAGTGCCAGAGTGGTTCTCTGCTCGGCGTTCCAGGATGAATATTTCCATTGGCCAACGGAGCGAGCCTGACTCCACCAAGCTCCCTTGTCTCTCTGCTCACGCATTTTCAACTGGTCTATCTGCGCCATCGATTCCATGGCTGACGCAAGCCAGGAGTTGAGGTGTTGATCCCATGGACTGCCCGAGATATTCAAAGTTGCCTGTCAGAAAGTGAAGTTGGTGACATCAGCATCTTTAATCAGTTCCTCAATCAATTTCTTGGTTCCCAGTCCAACGCAGACCAGGACACGAAGCTGGATTGCTATCCTCGCCAACTATTCTCAATATACAGAACGCTGGTCAAGAGTGACGCATGTTGTCTTTACCAACCACTCGAGATCACCAATAAAAGGAGCGTGGATAAAGCCAAAAATGGAATGTGGTGGATCCTGTCGTACTGATACCCAAAACATCTGATGAAATGCGACAGCCAGGATTAGACAAGGCAATCGGCGTAGTATGTACGTAGACACAAGAGCATGGCATGGCAATATCCTCACCTTTGGCAGGATACCTGCGACGCTGAGAATTTTTGTATGGCCCACTCTGAAGCTTCATATTCTTTTTTCTCGGAATACGATCTAATAAACTTCCGTGAACCCGTCATCATGTGAGACTCAGCCGGCGGGAAATGAAGGGTACAAGGATGGTCGCGACGAGAACAACAGACGACATCCAATTTGCAAGGCATCACAGCATCTCAAACATCACTCATTGTTAGCAGGATCCTTGAGCATGAGTGAGTGGATCATACTGGCCGGGAGACTGCAGCTCCAAGACAATTACGACCTCAGACAACGAAAAGGGGGGTGGCGCAATGAGGGGGGACAGATAGAGAATCAATAGCAAAAATGCCTCACCAGAATCATGCGGGCAGCGTGCGAACAAAGTGAAAGGAAAACAACAGAAATTGGGTCGAAGTTGAAGCAGCGATGGAAGGCATCTTTATAGAGCACGCACGGCGGTGCCAAGCGGCAAGGGAACGCTAAACCCAAATAGGAACACTATACAGTTTCTGGTAATTCGCCGTCACCCAAGACTACGGAGTAGAACCCTCATTCTCTCGTTCTGGCTCTGGTTTAACGTTCTTCAGGGTGTGCAACTCCAAGGGCCATACATACAGGTGCAGATTGTAGCAATTAGAGTCGATCATTTCACTGTGTGCTTCTATGCGACAACCTACGGACGTCGAGGATTCTACTCTCAGATTCAAGCAATCAATACTTCAAAACCGCCAGCATGGACTATCGGGAGATACCAGAAGGCTGGATGGCAATGCAGAGAAGCCTGTATGGGGTTTTCAAAGTCTATGGCCCTACCTCTGTCGTATTTCGGCGCATATGTACCGGATTTTCTTCACAGGTTGAAGGCTTTCCCTTTCCGTTTTTAGTGCTCACCCACCAGCTGTGAACTGGTCTGTAAGATCCTCGCCAATGCTTGTTCTCGCCGCCCATTCCTGATCTGGCTACGTTTCATCTTCTAGTGACAGATAGGAACAACATCTGGAGATGAATCGCGGGCATCTTGCAGATAATGGCAGATAATGGCAATTAAGGATGATATGCAAATCTCTTGTGCTGTTGTTTTCGTCATAATCATGCCTCAGTTAAAGTATTTACCATTGCAGCGTATAAGACTCAAGTTACATACATCTGTAACAATTTGCTATCAGTCATCTGGACGGGATCAGATAGACAGCTTTCTTGCAGAGAGATTCAACACTAAGCTCATGAGAATAAGCCATGAACCATTTGCAGCGACCGTTCATCATTCCTTCATATAGAGCAGAGAATAAGTTGGAATATCGAGCCACAGAGGGGATCTGTACCAGAAGATCGACTGTCATATCACATCACCTTTTCACGAAGGTCATTTCTGGATCTGCGGAGCCTGGACCTTCCTCTTGGTGGCCAATTGAAAGGCATAAAAGCAAGGGAGGCACGAAGACTTTTCCTGTCCGGTTTGACCGACCCCAGTCACATTACTTGCCCGGCAAAGCTTATCATGCGACAAGGGGAGCAACTGGCTACCCCATTGACCGAACTACTCCGGAGTAGAAAGTTGGCCCCCTCAATCCTCAGCGCTGCTTCTTCCGCCCCTATCTTCCGTACAAATTTGCCCTCTAACTCAAAAAGAAACCTACATTGGACGAACCCAAGTATTCTCCCACTTAAGCCTTGACAAGATCCGGAGTATCGGCTTCAAAGAGGAGCTTCCGGTTGGTCAAGGTCATTATGTGACTCTCGACCGTATGAGAGATGAATGCATTCTGCCTCCTAAATCGGTTTTGACAGGTAGTCATGTATAACTGATTGCTTATTTACCCTGGCTTTTAGTGGTCAGAATGGGAGTTCCTTGTTCACATTGATGTATCCAAATACAGAATTGCGTTGTTCGGATAGAGTTTACCACGAGGACATCCTCCCATGGCTAAATATGGACGCTCTCATTGGTTCACATTATTTCTGCCCTGACGCCGCAGGCATCAAAGCGCTAACTAACTATGAACTAGAATGTCTTTGTTGAAGAAGGGATTGATACTCCTTAAATCACCACCAAGTACCAGAGTACGCAGTAACCATTGAAAACTGCTGTCCCTCAAAACTCGTGCGGTCGTCGTTCCTGTATAATTCTCAAAGCTCACTGTAGCACATGGTGGTTGATCGGACAACAAGGTACCGGATCGGGTAAATCGAGGTCTAACGAGATAACCTCCGAATGAGACAGTCTAAAAGATGAAAGAAGATGATTTGCCTGGATGCGTTTCAAGTCCTTACATGCAGGCCAGTTTATCAGAATATTCGTACTCGGAGTACCGAGTACTAGAGAAGTGCTGTGTATAGAGGGGGGATGTTTACTGCCCAACACGTGTCATGGCTGTCATTAGATCAGAAAAAAAGAGGAGATTTCAATGGAGAAAGGAAGGAAATTCAATTTGAATGGCTTTCTTTGCCAGATCAAAGCCGTCGATCTTGTCCCACACACACAAAGTCTCTAACACTGCTGTATGTATATACAGAGAGCTGCTCCCCGCTTAGTCCCCCGACAAGCAGCCCAACCATCATCACCGCTTGTGTATTGAATTTCAATTGTCTATTTTCTTCCTTTTTCTATTCTCTCTTGTCCTCCTGTTTTCTATCAGAATCCAGATATCTAATAATATCTCTCGTATTTCATCCTAATCAACCTGTCCCGCTTCCGAATCGGTCCCTCAGCTGAAGGATCGACGACGCGTCTGTTGTCTTTCCCTCATCGCTCTCTTACGACACACATTTTACTCCCACACACTCTCTCTATGGAGGGCTTTCATTCAGTTCTTTTCTGGACTGTATGAAGCACTCAATCGTTCATTCTTTTTTCCTTTCTTTGCTTATTCTTTTTCCGTTTGATTCAGACTCATCGATGCCGTTCTCTCTCTCCGCTTTTCGTTGAATCTTTGGGCTCTGTTGATTTATCTGACGTTGTTGGATTTCGACCTGGTTAATTCGACTGCCATTCTTTCTTAATAATTTATTATTCTATCACTATTCGCTATTCGCTATTTGCAGCCTCTGCCTGCCTTTCTCTCTCATTTTATTTTATTTTATTTTGTCGAGTCGTTCCTGCCTTATCATCCACCATGGCGACCGTGTCCACCTCTCTGTCGGACCTGCCTCTTGAGCAGTTGACCCTCTATCAGACCTCCGATCCATCTCTCGCTTCCGTCTTCGTCTTCTACGGTCCTGTCGCAACCGCCAATGCTACCGTTAGCAGCTCGCGCATTCAGGCGCATGTCTTCACCCCCGCCGGATTCCATAGCTATCCCCGAATCACCGTCTCCCCAGCTGCTCCCTTATATGCGGCCGTCAACCACCTCCCACGAGAAAAACAAGGCGATGAAGTGTGTCGCGGTCTGGCCGTCAGCATGTTGAAGTACTTTGCGGATCTGTCCGAGTCGACCAAGGAATGCCTCCATGATCTCGCCCGCGCGGGGAAGCCCGGTGGGAAGATCCCCAAGATGTTTGATGAGATGCATGCCGCGGATTTGGCAAATCGCATGGTTCCGGTGGAGAATATGGTTACGAACAGTCATAATAATTATAATAATAATAATACGGCTCTATCGGATACGATTCGCGACATCCGCGGTGCGTTTCAGGAACGCAAGCTCCCATGGATCGATCTCGATGTGATCCTCCCCGCCGGAACCATACAACCGCCCCCGCGACCCGACGATAACGATACGTCCCAAGATCTCGAAGATACCCCTGATCACCAATATGGCCGCTACTCTTCCCTCATCCGCGCATTGGGAGAGCCGATTTTCTTACCTACCTCCCGACTGAAACGTGCTCCTTCCCAACCCACCAATGTCAGCCGGTCCCGCCTGTTCTCGAGAGGTCAGAAGGAGGCCCTCCGGCTCACCATGTGTGAGCTGGTCGATACGGAGGAGCGATATGTTGCCAAGATGTATCATCTAGTGCGAGTCGTGGCGGAGGAATTCCGGATCAAAGCGCAGACACGATCGGCTACCAGTACGAGCCCCGACGAGTCGGCCCTCAAAGCCCTGTTCCCGCCGTGTTTGAACGAGATACTCGACATCAATGTGGGCTTCTTGGAGGTCATTCGTCAGGTACTCGAGGAGACGGAAAAGGACGCCATTGCTGATATTGCGGAGGACACGGAAATGTCACATCGAGCTTCGTCACGAGAAAGCAAGGACGCCATCGGTGCCGCAACTTTTGCAAACGCTTTGATCGAATGGTTCCCACGGTTTTCGGAAGCCTACGCGGATTACATGCGCGCTCACAACGGCTTCACCCAAACTCTGAACTCGTTCATGAAAGACAAAAACTCCAGCTTCTCGAAGCGTGTGTACGAAACGGGCGAGCAACAGCTACGTTCCCTCCTCATGGAACCCGTCCAACGTCTGCCCCGCTACAGTCTCCTGATCGACACCATGATGGGCAGTCTGCCATTGATTCATCCCGCTGTCCGACCGCTCTTGAAGGCGCGAGATATTATCAAGGACATCTGTTCGCTGGACAACCCGTCATTGACGGACCATTCGCAGAGCTTCCAACGACTAAAAGAGCTTGTCGATGGCTGGCATGCCTCCATTGTGCCCAGCGGTCGCTTGATCACTGCAGTCGACTTCGACGAGCTGTCGCCACCATATCATATGGATATGCAAACGCCAAGTCCGAGCACAGGGATCATGCTGCTGTATAAGAATTGCTTGCTCCTTTTATCCAAAGCTCCAGACAGCCGGATGACTGCACGTGGACTGTTGGCTGATCTTGACCATGCCGCATCGACAACGACAGATGCTCCGGGAACATTCAGCACCACCGAGATTAGGGTCGCACGGGTATTCGACATTCACAGCGTTCGTTGCATGCAATCAACATGTGGGCGCATCTTGTTTCTCGCGCCGGCCTCCGCCAAATCTGGAGTCGCAAACGACAATGCCACGGATCTTCTCGCATTAGAGCTGTCGGGTATGTATGAAGCACGGGCCAATCGACTGATTGAAGAGTTCGCCAAAGCCAAGATTGAGGGCCGGTTCTCCGAATCTGAGCGAGAGAATGCAAAGTGGACACTCCGGAGTCCTACAAGTGGAACAGTGGGTAATATTGGGATCTTGGCTTGCGTCTTTGAGGAGGATACAGATGGGACGATGAATCGGACGGGTCCCGCGAAGATTCGAGTGCTCTTCAATACCCCCAAAGCAGAAAGCAGTCGAATATTGGCCAGTTCGGATGTGGAGGTGGTCGTGTTGGTAACAGCCGGGGAGGAAGATCAGTATCGGGTGGACATTGACTCGACCGTGGGTATCCCTTCCTCTGATCTGGTCACAGCAGATAGCTTCATACCGGTACTTTCCAAGCGTCTCTTGAACGTGCTACTTCCGCTACATGGACCTCGAAATCCAACATTGACTGTGCCCATTGTGCACTCAAACTTTGAGATTCTCCGATACATTGCCGGCAATCTCATAACTCAAGTCAAAGCGCCACGCGGCTTCCGACCACCATCGCCATCCAAGCTGCTTTCTAGCCTCTTGGGTGGAAATCAACCGAAGGACGGCGCGTCAAATTCCAAGACACCTAACTCTGCGCCATTACTGGGCGACTTTCCAAAGATGCCGCCTCCGAGGATTAATCTCTCCCGGGCAAACACCTTGCCTTCTAGTATCCCTGCGAAAGAGGAAAATCCAAATAGAATTTCCGTGATCGAGACAACAGGTTCCAGAGGATCGGAAAGTCAGTTCGGCTTGTTGGAGCAAACATTTGCTGCCTATGCTCTAGCACTGCAGTCGCGGAGTGGGAATATCGTCGGACGGACCCTACGCGGTAGAGACAGCGTGGATCGTTCCTCGGTCAATGAGCTGTACAATGTGTTGCTGGAAGATCCTGGAAAGATTCAGGCTGCGGCTGAAGTTCCCGTTGACACACTATTTGTTGCCTTTGAGACGTTTATGGCCAACGCATGGCAGGAACATATGGGACCGATCCTTGACCCATCGTCTTTGAAGTTAATTCAGAGCCAGTTTGACACCATGTTTCCGCGTGACTTTGACGAAAACTTCCGGAAGTTTTTGGCCGAGATGAGCCCTCAGAATCGCCGTGCGTTTGCTGCTATGGTACGGTTGCTTGCAGAATTGCTGGACGCTTCGGGTAATGACGGTGATCGCGGTGCTCTCACCGCCGCCTTTGCAGAGATCCTCACCGTCGAGGGTGATCCGATGCAACATATCTCTCTCTTGGATCGACTGGTAGATGACTTTGACAATCTCTTCGACGAGTATATCCCAGGTGGTGCCTCATTGGAGGGGACCCTGATCTGCGATCAAACCAAGTCCGTATCGCACAACACGGGCTCTATAAATTCCAATGCGTCTTCCTTCCGGAAGCGATTCGGTTTCGGCTTACACCGCGAGGGATCGAAGCATGAAGGCGAGAGTAAGATGTCATCCATTTTGCGAACCTTGAGTAAGAGCAAGGGATCAGGAGACTCGGAATCCAACACTCCCAGGGGCTCTTTGTCACGCTCGAAGTCGATAGACCTGGATAACAGTCTGGGCTTACTGTTACGTCCTGGCTCCCGTGATCATACCGCAGCATCTTCTCAGGAACAAATCGCCCGCCCAGGTAGTGGGCACGAGCACACTGGGTCCATATCTTCTTCGATTAGAGGTATATCGACAAATGGGCCTGTCAAGGTCCGTCGAAAGCGACGGAGCTCTCTTTCTGATCTACGACCCAATACTGCTTCGACAACAACCACGTCTGACTCCTCACCATCAAGACCTGTAACTCCTGGGTCGGGGTCTAACGCAATGACTCCAACAAAGACCAGACCACAGAGCTCAGGGTCGGGCCGCAGTCTGTCGCCAGTTAAATTTGGTTCACCTTCCAGATCTCCCACGCGTCCTGCTACACCTAGCCGCAAAGAGAACATTGATCCTAGGTCACAAGCGGAGCGTTCACCAAGGAAGAAGGGCGAGAATGCCAGTACTGGTTCGCCGGAAGAGTACAAGAAAAGGCCTCGGACATTGAGTATACCGTCGCGTGGTGGACTACGAGAGCGTCCAGCGCTGGCCAACAATCCTGATCTGAAACGCGGCGGGACTCCACAGAAGGCACAGAAGCTGCGGATGCAGAGCCCGCAGAAGCTACGGGATCGTCTTCAGAACGAAAAGAAGGCCCAGGCCTCTGCACACTCAGGGTTGAAGGACGAACTGGACCTGATTAGCAACGAGCTACAAGGGTTGAAACTTCGACCAACGCAGCAAATTCATGCCGTGAACGAAGATTTGGATGCCGATGAATACTCTTCAAATGCGGCGCTCGCGTCCCGGATAGAGACTCTGGAGTCACGCTTTGACATATTGTCTGGAGACCTTAACGGACGAACATCTTCCATGGAACGGGATCTAGAATCGTCTTTAGTTGTCAGCGAGAAACGAGCCAAGAAACTTGACGAGCTGTATCGGGAGGCCAGTGCAGAGAACGAAGCGCTTTACGACCGGTTTAATTCGGAACTGAGCAAGCTGGCGAAAGATGTACGATCGGGGAGCACGGAGGAGGCTCTCAAGACTCAGTTGAACGGTGCTCTTGATGAGATTGGACGGTTGAAGAAGGAGAATTTCCGGCTCAAGAGGGAGGTTGGTGGCTTGCGTGCCCAGCAAGCTGCCGTTGCGTTGTTGAAGGCGAGTGATTGAACGATACCACGCCAATGTCGATGTCGATTTTGATTTCCAGGCTATTGAACGAGTGTCTGGTGCTGGCCACGCAGGCCCATGTTTGATTCCGTCCGATGATCGTGAAATGGACACGAGTTCATGTTTATTGATGGCCTTTCCTTTTTCTTTCTTAATGGTATCAATGCAGATGCAGCCGTGGATATGACTAGAGAGTATATAAGGCCGACTCTCTTGGGAACGACATATTTCTGATTCTGGTTCTGTCTTTTTCTAGTTGTTTGGTTTTTACTCATGTCTATTTTCTTTTCTTTTTTGTCATTTGCATCTCTCGTTTGGCAAACATATGCATATTATGCATGCACTCTTGTACTCTCTGGAGTCTATTGGCAGAATTTTCTTTTCTTTGCATTTTTGCAGTTGGGAGCAAGTCAAGTTATCTTCTAGCCTTGTCTATCCTTGGACTTTCATTTCTTCATTTTACTTTTCTTTTCACCTTTTCTATTGCATTCCTTTTCGTCTGTCTTGTAGAATAGGAGAGGATTTTTATATTTTAGCGTTCATTACTTTCATATCTAAGACCAAACCAATCAATTCATTCAGTCAGACATTGATTTGACAGTCTCTTCGTCGATCATTTTGTACATCCATTCCCAGTGTATTTCACATGGTATTCTTTCTCCTGGGACGGAATTGAGTATAGACATCGACAATGTGAAGCGGATGTCTAATGTTGGTAACGCGAGTACTCTCTCTTTCCCACCATGGTTAACAATCAAGACGGGGATGGTGAATCGAGATTGACCCGGTGATTCTCGGGAAAGGGTGTCGCTTAGTTGTGTCCAGAGGGGATTGACTTCCTTTCGTTTCTTGTTCTGGGTTGGTTTCGGTTGTTGGTGTTGTGATGATGCCGTGGATGGTGACGAGGATGACGAAGAGGAAGGGGATGAAGATAGATATTCTCGTAGATGGTGTAGATCTGCTTGTTGTAGCGGTCGAATCGTAACTGGTAGGGTATCTTCAGTCAGGAGGACATCGCCATTCTCGTCGTTGGTTTCGGTAGTTGTCGAAGGTGAGGGTGTGTTTGGCGTTATGGCGAATCGGAACCAGTAGCGGTTATCCCATAGCTTCCAGGGTGTATGGTCATATTTATCAGAGGGTTGTATATGCTGTTCTTGCTGGTTGGTGACGGGAGGAACTGGGGTATCGAAATCGAGAGCCGGAAGACGATTGCGCATGAATGGTTGGCGTGATAGGAACCATGCATCCCCGGCATCTCCATGATCTGCCAATTCTCTCTGAAAAGGTTGAAACATGATCCCTCCCAGCGTAAAAGCCTGTCCTTTTGGTGTCTCAGTGCTTGGTTGGAAGACACGCTCGGTGAAGTTTTCAAAACTCCTCAACGGAAAATGATTCTCCGGAAACGGCGATACCAACTCTGTTATCCTCCGTAGAGTAACGGCTTGAATCTGGCGGTTCCGTTGGTCTTGGTTTTTCGTTGTTCGTCTTGTTGGGATCGTACCGGCTGGTTGTGCAGATGTTAAGGGTGGGAATTGGATTATCATCGTTCCTGAGGTGAGGTTGAGATCGATGAGGTTGCAGTGTCGGAGGATTTCATTTGACAGGTTGATTGTGTCTTTGAGGAGATCTTGGCTTGCTTGGATCAAGGAGAGGATAGATGGCGGTGCAAGGGCGCGTGGTAAGCGGTTCTCAGAGACAAGAATCCGGATTGCGTTCCTCGGCGTAAGCGTAGGATCGAAGTTCGTTGGGTCGTCGACGTAGGGAATATCGTGTTCGTGACAAGTATCCAGTAACCGTGCCTTCGGAAACGAGAGCAACGGCCGACAAATCGACAACCCCCCACTCGCAACCACCCCCCTCGACACCCCCCTCCTTTCCAACAACCCAACCGCCTCCCCACTCTCCGCAACCCCATAAATCCCATGACACTCCGGAATCCTCGCAACGCGCGGAATCCCCATAAGTCCGGCGCCCCTGGCCCCCGTACATAGCCGCCACAGCGTCGTCTCGACGTTGTCGTCTTGATGATGGCCCATCATTAGTGTTTCGATGTTGTTGTCGCGACATGCTGTCCCAAGGGCTTGAAAGCGGAGTCTGCGGGCGAATGTCTCAAATGCAGAGGGCCTTGCTTTCCCTTCACTGGTATTGGTGGACCAGTCTAGTTCGAGGATTTTGGTGGTTATTTCTGAGACTGTTAGCTCTTCGCCTCGAAGGAATTTAGGGGGTGAGAGAAAGGAAAAATACCAAGTTCATCAAGCCACCCCTTAACCATGCTCGCCTCCCGCGAACTCTCCTCCCGGGCTTTATGATCGACCACAAAAGCCGTGACGGAGAGATCTTCCACGAGCCCGCTTTTCTCTAATTGCTTGCATAGATATGCCAGGGTCATTGAGTCTGCGCCGCCACTTACTGCTAGTCCTAAATTTTATGAGTCTATGCATTTTTTATATATAGAAATATTGGGGAAAGGGAGTACCTAGTCGTCGTGGAATGAGCGACCTGCGGAGGCCGGGGAGGCGTTGCGATTCAGTCCATGCTCGGCGGAAGTGGTCTAGGAATTGGGGGGTGGTTATTGTTTTGGGGCTGGCGAGAAGACATGATGCTTTCATTTACGGTCATTTATTAGAGGGTTGAAGAATCGAAGGGTTGGTTGTAGTATGTAAAGTTGGTTTAAGACGTTGTCGGGAATTTATATTCAGGTCTTGGCATTGTCGAATGAGTGAAACTACAGACAAAATTTATAGGAATTGATGTTCCATTTCAAGTCAAGAAAAGAATGAAATGCAGAGTATATAATGACCAATGCTTATCATACAAATATGGCGCCTAATATTAACATCGAAAGAGAGAAAGAAAAAAAAAAAAAAAATAAGCCCCCAACAACCCAAGACAACCCTTTTGTCCCAACCCCAACAAAGACATAATACAAATACACGCTCTAAAAATTGATTATAGACGTCGAACCAGACCCCGATGCCGTCAGAGAATGAATACTGCCTGTTGGCGCGCTGCCATTCTCTCCTCCGTTAGCTGGTTCTGCTCGTAGATGAGAGCCAGCTTGGCTTTTATCCTCGTCGCCACCTGACCCGGGCATTGGGAGGTCTTTCTTTCCGTTTGACTTGTAGTAGAGGACCATGTCGCCTGAGGTGCGCCAGATGTGGTTACGGATCGTTGTTAATGTCATATTCGGGGGGATTAACTGTTTGGGTTAGTTTATTGTGACTTGGCTGGAGATCATGGGGACGAAGACATACCATGTTCTGACAATAAAGTTCAAGATACTCCTCTGGCTTCAGTGCATCCTCCGCGGGCTCTTCGGTGAAGGTCGGGTCGATTCGTTCGGCGATGTAGGCGAGTATCTTCTTGGCACGTAGCATTCTGTTCGCATTCAAACGGGAGTTGTTATGATTGCTGGGGCCATTGAGAGGGGGTCTGTATGGTCAGCTGTGGCTCAAGAATACATCAAGTATAGGAACTTACCCGTCTGGCTTAACTACCGGTGGCAGAAGATCATCAACTGGTCGCAAAGTAAACGCCACCTTGACAGGATCTTTCTGTGGCATTTGATCCTAGTTACTGTTAGAAGAGAGTAAGAAGTATTGCGGAATACTGCTTACCTTCAAAAGAAGCTCTGCGAGCCATAGAGGAATCGACTTCTCCAACTGGTCAATTTCCTCACTTAGACGACCAACGCTCCCTCTGTACAGATCAGAAGCAACTGCTGTATCCCCAGACTCCTCCTGTATGAAAACAACTGTCTTCGGCGGGATATTCAACCTAGGGGTCTCGTTATCAGGGATAGGCGTGATAGCCGAGGTCAAGTCCTGCCCAGGGTTCGCAGCGAGGAATTCATCGTATCCATGTCGAATCCGCTCGATAAACCCACTCAAATTGTTCTCAAACACCTTTTCTTCCTTGACGGACGAACGATCAGATTCCTCCGGCTTCTCCTTTTCTTCCTGGATCTGTTGCTGTGGCTTGACTTCGGACGGTGTCCGGCCGAGTTTTCCCATGCGGAATTTCTTACTGAACAGGGAGCTTCCCTTCTTCTTATCTTCCTTGTCCGGTTCGACAGGTGAAAGCGGAAGAGCTGTTGGTGTTTGGTCGCCCTGACTGCCTTTATCTGTCTCTGCGGTTTGCATTTTCGATGTGAAATAGTCGCTGGATCGGTCTGACATGGAACTTCGGGTGGCATCTAGCGTTTGCTGGGGTGTAGGCGATGCCAAACTGTCTGCAAATTCTCCCAAACTATGACCGGGTGATGTGCCCAGGTTGTTGCTATTGCTGCCACCGCCCATAGACGATGACAGAGTCCCAGGGGTATTGGCGAATCCGATACCAAACCCGGGGGTCGTCGGACTTCCAAACACGTCACTGCCCGCCCGTGGAGTCGTAGGAGGAGCATCGTTATGAGGAATCGGAATGTTCAAGCTCCTTGGTACATCTCCTGTCGGGATATCAAAAGGTGACAAATTCGCCGAGGTTTGCCGCGCAACCTCTTCGCCCTTCATTACTGTTTCTGCACGATACTCTTGGTCTCGATTAATTTCTGCGTCGACCAACGGGGCAAAGAGCCAGCGCAATATCCATTTTCCAAGGTTGACTACGCAGGTTAGAACGGAACAAAGAGGGCCAGGGGGAAAGGATACACACTTCTTTGATCATCTCTAAGCTCTGACCGATCAGGCAAATCAATCTCATCTGCATACGCCTCTGCATCAAAGCAGCGGTTGGATTCCAGAATGACAGATAGTCTTCCTGTCCGAATATCAATTGTGCACCAGTGTGCGATACTCTCTGTAGTGTTGATTTCGGCTTCGACATCGTCCATATGGCGCTTGCCAAACGATTGGATCGGGGCACACTACTCGTTGGTTAATAACAAGACAAAATCTGACCATCAAGTAACGTACCTTCAGCAAATCCCATAGAACAACTTCTCCCGCACTATCCTGGGTTAATGTGCGTTTCCTGTCATTCAACATGAGATGCTTGATTAACCCGTTTTGGCCCTCAATCGTCTCCTCTGGCAGTGTTTGGATGGGCAACGTAAGTTCAAATTCGTCCTCCACAACGGACTCAATGGAAGGTCTCCCTGGCGGCACGTTCGCTTCAGGGAAAGTCGAGGTGCTTGACAGGAGTAGGACGGAATTGTAAGGAATCTTCTTCCGCTTTGCTTGCGCCCCGTTGGCAGGCGGCGGGCTCGCGGCACTCTCACGGTCATCGGATGGCGGCTCGATCTCAGCGGTCGTGTCGATATCATGCCAGCGATTAATGCTGGATTTGGGAGTAGCTGTCCAGAGATAATCCCCTGCGGCCGCTACCTTAACAACCCCTTCGTTCTCCTGCAGCGCCGCGACACAGATTCCCTGCTCGATGTCCGGGGAGTTTCTGGTATCGGTCTTTGCGACAAGGCCGGAGCGATCGCTAGAGTAGAAGACGGACAATTGCGGATGGTTCGAGTAAAGCGACCAGACGCTGTCGTTATGCATCGTCAACGTATGCATGCATCTTCCGGCGGTAAGGGACCAAATCTTGATGGTCTGATCGGACGAGGCTGTCATGATCGTATCGCCATCGCGATTGACAAGAATGTCGCGAATATTATCCGTATGTCCTACAAACTTCGTGATCAATTTTCCAGACTTTGGATCCCACACCCTAACCACACTCTCAGGTCCACCACTAGCCAGAACAGATGACACAGCTCCCAAAGCATAGACAGAGCCCTTGGCCGTGCGATCGTCCCCAGATGCATCGATATTCAAGACCTCGCCGCCGCCATTCAAATCCCACAAGTGCAGCTTATGATCCAAACCACCCGACGCAACCCAATTGGCATGATTCCCCGGCGTCGCAAGAGTTTTCACATAATCGGCGTGTTTCCCAATGCGCGCGGGCACATCCGTCGACTCCGAGTGAGGTCGCCATAAGCGCACGGTCGTGTCCGAAGATGCAGAAACAAGGGCGGAGTTGTTTTGGGTTAAGACAATGTCGTTGATCCAATGGCTATGTGCCTGGATCTGGTTCCGAAACGTTGTCTGGCCCGGTTGCTTGGAGCCTAGGAACGAAGGAGGTGTTTTGGAGGACAGAGGGCGGTTGAGGTCCCAGGAACAGACGACACCATCGCGACCGGCGGAATAGCTGGATTGTTAGACGATAATTAATAGGGATTGCAGCGATGAAGGCTCACAGGATGGAATGGTCGGCGTCGACGGTTAAGCCGTTCACCCCCAGCCGATGACCGCCGGGAGCATCTGGAAGAGGGAGCACTGCCGCGAGACACATTAGCTTGCTTTTTCCATTGAACCATTGTTGTAATAAGTAAGCTCACCATATGCGACCCTCTGGTGACTAGGTTTTGGGGCCATGCAGAGGATTGCGCGCGAAATTCAACGGCGTGGTAGAGGAAGCGGACGGGACGGATTGCGGAGGAGATGAGAGCGGAGGTGGTCCGCGATCAGGCGCAGAGATAGTCAGATGCCATACGATACTGGCAAGCGCAATGCTATGGAGGGCACTATATGATAGGATGGAAACGGCAGGTAAGACTCAGAGAATGGAACGAGGGAGGAGAGCGCAGGTGGTTGTTGGAGAGACGACCAAGGCAGAAACCAAGCGGAGATAAGCCCGTCGGGGATTATTTCAAGCCACGAGCGAACCGGGGATTTGATGCACGGATATGCAGGGGAATGAATATAGAAATGGATTTACGTAGGATATTTTAATATAGAGGGGACACTGAGTACATGTAGTAGTTGATAGTAGTTGAGAGAAGCAATGTTGCAGCTGCATGAGATCAGCAAGTATGACGGCTCACTACCGAATACACTTCTATGCCACTGTCTCCTACCATCAACATATGTACAAACTCCCCGTATTGTGTCTGATACTCATTTTAGAACCCTGGTTTACCCTGGAACTGAGTAATAATGGAATAAAGAACACAGCTTCAGCCTCTGCGCTGATATCATATCAAACCATCGCACGTGACCCATAGTCCGTCTGTAGTTACAACCTAACTTCGTCTTATCCCACGTCTCACCCAACCCAATTCAACTCAATTCACCAGAATCTGAATACCAGAAGAAACGAATAATAACCATGGCCATCCCTCTATCCCAAATAAAACCCATCTATCTCCCAAACACCCCGGACGCATCCTCCGAATTCCCCACCATCCAATCAACCATAACGACCCTAAACCTCCAACCGCACGTCGAAGGCGGCTACTTCGTCGAAAGTGACCGCGACCCCCTCCGTGTCCCGAACCCTCGCCCTCCCACATCGCAAAACGATACAACCCGCTCCGCTAGCACCTCCATCTTCTACCTCCTCACCCCGCGCTCCCCGCTGGGCGCTTTCCATCGGAACGCCAGTCGCACGGTGCACACGCTTCACCGCGGCAGGGGGGTGTATGTCATCTTGCATGCGGATGAGGAGAGTGTGGGGAGGAATGGGGGGAAGGCGGGTGTTGAGACGTTTGTGGTTGGGCAGGATGTTGAGAAGGGGGAGAGGTTGCAGTGGGTTGTTGAGGGGGGGAAGTATAAGGGGACGTTTTTGTTGCCGGATGATGGGGGGAGTTCGAATGGGTTGTTGATTAGTGAGGTTGGTTTCTTGTATCATGGATGTGGTATGTTTATGCTGACGTTGGTAGACCGTCGTCCCCGGATTCGAATTCGCAGACCACGACTTCCTCAGCGCCGAAAAGATGGACGAGCTGCTCACCCGAGACCAAGTCCAGGAACTGAACTGGATGCTCCGCAAGACAAACTAGTGTACACACTAGGAGACATAATGTATAGAGCAACAGAATAATGTACATGTCTATTCACTCTTCCCCCGATCCTTCCCCTCCAACGTATTCCATGTAAACTGATAACTACCCAAAAATATAGCCCCTCCAACCCCAATCCACGCCACACGAGGCCCAATCCCCCTCCAAAAAGCCCCAACCCCTTCCTTCGAAATCTCCTGCACAACATCCCTAATCCTTGCCTTCGCACCCTCACCAGCAGCACCATCCTCCCTCCTTGCAAGCATAACCCGCGTCTTAACCACATCCAACGGCGTCGTCAACCCCGCCGCAATAGAGCCAGCAACACTACCAAACATCGCACTCGTCGACGCAGGCACTTGTCCCTCAGTCCCAGTAGGAACAGCGCCAGACGCAGCCATCCGCTTAGCATACCTCTCCTTCATCCCCTCCCACAACGTAAACTGCAGCACGGTGAACGGGATCTCCCGCGCAATAGTAATCCCCGCACCGCGGTACAATTCCCTCACCACCTGCCCATACCCATGCGCATTTCTCAGCGCCAAAATATCCTTCAGCGCAAGCAAACTCGACCCACCGAACAACCCCGCCTGCGCGCGCTGCTTGATAACCTCTGTAGGAACCCGCACCGCACAAGCAGCAATCTCACCCATCGACGACGCAATAGAGTGCGTAAGTGTAATATGTGTCCGCGACGCCTTCTCAGAGCTATTCGGAGGAGGTAACAATGAGCGCTTCACGCCGTCGTAAACAATGAAGAACGAAGCGGCCGATGGCGCGGAACCGAAGAGGACGGAGGGGAGGCCGGCGTAGATACCGCGGATGGTTTGGCGGAGGGAGACTTGAGGTGCTGGTGCGTTTGTGGTGGGGGCATGGCTTCGGGCTTTTTGGAGACGGGTCTTGATCGTGTCGAGGGGGTAGAGGGAGCAGTCGACCGTAAGGCCGGCGACGGCACCGGACTGGAGTGCAAGATCTCAGTTAACCAATTTCATATGGACGTACATATAGTGACAGTAACAGCGTACAAGCAAAGATCTAGTCCAAAGAGAGACCAATGCCTCTGTTTCGTGCTGTTGAGCCATGGTGGGATGGCTATCGAGTCAATGATTGGTTGAACTCAAGCTCCCCCAGTTACACACAGTAAATCGTGAATCGTGAGCTTGTGTAGCAAAGCTTGAAATGACAGAAAAACCAGGCTCTCTTTGTCAATTGAGTGAGATATGAACCCGCGCGAGCCGCAAATGGAGTTCCTGTCAACTTTCGGCCGCGGTCAAGTTGATCAATGATTAATTTCTTGACAGCCTCCGATAATCGGTTTGTCTAAACTCCGCAATCTCCGCATTAGCCTTACGTCAATTCATACAATACTGTACTCTTACATCCAGCTACAAAGCTTCAAAGATAGCATTGTATGTAATTCCAATTTATTTATAATATCTACCAGCTCCTGTGTCTTTCCATATGCAAGTAGGAGCACGAAAGAATGGACAATGAAAAAAGAACGAGCCCACGCCCCAGGCGAATCCTATACACACGACAGAAGCCCGGAAAAAGTGGACCGGAAACGAGGAAAAAGGAGACAATCGAAAATCTAGCAACCCAGCCTCTATCCAGACAATAACCACAACGCCGGAAGGGGAAAAAAAAAAAAAAAAAAAAAAAAAGAAGAAGATTGAGGGAACTCTCGTAACCAGCCTTGCCGGTTACGAAACATGATTAAAAAGGCAAAACAAAACAATGGGAGGTCAGATATGAAGACAGATGTGGACCCCAGTAGTGTATCAGACTGTACAGAAGCAGATTAGGAAAAGGAGGAAACAGAAGCGCAGAACACCGCCCAATAAGCCAAAATAGGTAAATCAATCAATCCACGCTGGATCGAAAAAAGCAAGAAACGATTAAAAAAAGGATAAACAATGAGGTGAGGGGAAGTGGGTATTTTTTTTTTCTCTTCGGATAAATGGACTCGCACAATATGGAGACACAGGATATGGATCTGGTGACGACGAGATATATTACTTGCCCTTCGCAGCCTTGCTAGCTTTGCTTGCAACGGGAGGGGCATTGGAGGGCGGTTCCAAGACATGGGTATGGTTTGGAGCTTTGACGGTCTGACCCGTCTTCTCGTCTTGCTCACAAACCTGAATGCTGCGGACCCAGTCATCACTTAGGACTTCGTCCAAAGTGGCGCGTTGGCTCACGGCAACCTTGAGCATTCGGCCAATGATATACCGGCTTTCACGGGGAAGAATGCGCAACAGCCTCCAGGGACCCTTAATAACCTCCTGACGTTGGGCACTCGACTGGGAGTTGGGTGGAAGCGGGGGCGCCTCTTTGCTCGTGGTGCGCGTAGGCTTGTTGTTACCGTTACTGGTGCCGTTGCTAGGAGTTTTGTCTTGCGGACTCTCGGGGGGTTGGTTTTCATTTTGTTCAGATTTAGATTGTCGTTGGTCCGAGCGTTGAGCGCTATCTGACTTGCCCGACGATCCGTTTTTATTCGCCTGCGATTGCTTGTGCTCGTCATGAGTAGAAGAGGGAATATCAGTGTTAGACCTGGTTGGACGATGGCGTCTCGGTTCGGCATCTGGGACGGGCGTTCCTGGCGTTGGAGGCGAAACAAACAGTCGGTACGAGTTATCATTTGTCCGTGGCTGCTTCCAGGGAAAACGTCGTAAAGTCATACAGCAGAAAATGATCGCTAATGACCAGATGTCCGTGGGCCGCGGATCATACTTTTTCTCATCGTAGACCTCGGGGGCCAGATACGGGTCTGAACCCACAATCCCTGTGAAGTAAAGTGAGCTTCGTTGAACATGAGAGGTTCACGGTTTAACATATCAGGAGAATCCTTACCTGAAGAGGGAACAATGTCGTTTTCAAACGGATAACGGAACACAACCGCACTGCCAAAGTCGATAAGTTTCATGATGCCGTGCTCATTAACAACCACATTATCCAACTTCAGATCCCGATGGGCCAGACCCATTCCGTGCAGGTAGGCCACACCACTGAGAATCTGTTTGAATGAACAAGCGATCTCCTCCTTCGCCATCTTGCCGGTCATAACGATGGCAAACAAGTCAAATGGAGCGTATTCCATCACCTCATACCAATGGCTGCCTTCTTGAATGATATCTAGGGTCTCGATGATGTTGCCATGGTGTAGCGTCGATCCAATACAGAATTCTGCCGTCACCTTCTTGGAATATTCTTTCAAGGTCTCCCAACTATGGCGGTCTCGGAATTGCTTCACCGCAAACGTGACGCCGTCGGTATTCCGTTTCAAGAGACGAACGGAACCACCGGCTCCAGACCCCAGCACCTTTCCAAGTTTTCCGTACTTGGAATTCAAACCGTGGTCATCGGCAAACGGAACATTGTCGGGTGCCATTTGAAATGGTGTATTCTTGCCAGACGATCGGCTTGACTTCTTGGAAGGCGATGAGGGGGAGTCATTGCGCTTATGCCGGTGGTGACCAATTTTGAAGAATCGCTTGAGCTCAGCCATATGGCCATGATGCTTGCCATCTGAGTCCTCCCGGCCCAGATCCTTCTTGTGACTTCCAAATAGGTGACCTCGCTTATCGTTTGACTTAAGGTCTCCCGCGCTGGATGAACGTGGGGTCCCGGGACGAAAACTCTGTGCCCGGCGTTTCAAATCACGACTTCCGAAAATGAATCGAGGATCGAGTTGTGCAAGGTTCTTGGGTGGCGGGGGCCGCTTGCTGCGAGCGTATGGGTCGTTCGGTTCACCAACCGGGGTGATGGCACCGGGAGGAGTATAACTTCCGGTATCGATCTTTCGTGCAGAGGATGGACGGCTCTCTTCCTGGCGCTTCAAGTCCGTACCGGCGCCAAAGAAGTGCGGATGCTTGGTTGCATCGGACGGGCGTTTCGTAGACTCGCGTGAAATATCGCTTTGTCTATGGGACAAACGGTCGGTTGATGAGGGTCGCGAGGTAGGCGCGCTTTGTGGAGCCGGTTTCTTCTCCGCTGTCGAACCAGGCGGGGACGTCTCTGGGGTCATCGGGGTGGACTGTGCCAGTCCTCCCTTGTCGCTTCCATTGACACTGACAGCACTATCGCTCGTCTTGGTGTCGTGCGAATGCGTAGCGGCCGGGGTGAGAGGGGGCGATTGCATGGCTGATGCGTGTGGGGAGGCGCGCGGAGAGTGAGGATTGGAACCATTAGCTTCTCGAGTACTGCGATCGCTGGATTCTCGGGAAGCAACCTGCAAAGGAATTTAAGAAGTCAGCCATCTTTCCACGTCACCAAAGCCATGTGTCAAGCAAGTGAGATCATCCCGAGGAATGCAACCAGAGGAATGAAGGGAAAACAGAAAGTGTCCACGACAACATTTTCTCAACTGTACAACTCATACGTGCATCAAATGGCAAACTGCATACATACCCTTGAAGACGGCAAAGAGACGGGCTCATAGGAAAAGTTCCGAAGTCTCGACTCCTGCAGCTGAGAACGTTGGAAGGTAGCGGCCAATGTGCGTATTTCTTCGTCGGGTGTCTGATTCGGGATCAGAGAAGACGGTTTCCCTTCAAGGGCGGGATCCTGAGCCGATGGGGACTTGACAGATGGTTCAATCTCCTCCGTGACGGACGAAAAACGAACTTGACCGGGTTGTGGTTTTAACTTGGAGGAGTCTGCGTCAGACGCCTCCGGGACTTGAGCGTCCTGCATGTGGACCGGGTTCTGGGTCGCTTGGGATTCTAATAAATCAAAAGCCTAGATTAGACGATGGCTCTGAGGGGGTTACAGAAGGCAGGGTAAAACAGCAATGCGCACCTGAATCCATAGCGTTTGTTGAACGGGAAAGGTCGGTCGTCGATTCAGACGTCATAATCGTCGAAACCAGCAGTGAGCGTTGTGGGACACATGCCCCCTCTACCGATGATAAGCCGTTATAGTGATTTATTTGTAACAGCTTTCTCTTGTTTAATTAATTGCTGCAGGCGAGAGGAGTGTTTTGGGAACCGCGAAAGACGCAGGCGCGAATTAAATCAGGGATTTGTTGTTCCAGTCGAGACGGATCCAGCGGCAAAGAGACCGTTTCTTTTTCCTCCCTGCAAACCGGGGTCTACCAACGCGAAGTAGTAGTAGTAGCGGCGAGTCTGGGGGAGCCACAACCGACAGACGGGACCGGGGACCGGTGGACTAGGCGGGAAAATGAGGGGAAGGGAGAGGGAAACAGAGGGGAGATTGATCCTGAAGGATTATATTACAACAAAATAGAAAGAGAGGAGAGTGAGGCAAAAAAAGGATGATGGAAAAAGAGAGAGATGATATAGGAAGAGGAAAAGAGAACAGGAAAAGAAGAGCGAAAGAGAGCAAGAGCAAAGCGCCCGTGACAATACATAACGGTAAGATACGACAGTCATAGTGGGGGACCGCCAAGAATAGCGTTTACGTCTTTACAACATCATGTATTTTGGCCTTGGCGTGATCTTTGGGGCAAAACAGAGTCATTTTTACACAGTGAGGAATTCACCTGGAATAAAATGTTTTATTATGTTCTTTCTCTCAGCAGGTCGATATGTCACAGCGCAGAAGAGGGGGGCGAATAGAACATTCTGACTCTTGTCTATTACCTTGGCAGTGTTCGGGATCGGGCGGAGTATGGGACGGCGGTAAGGCTTGGTAACACATGTGGTATTGATCGGGGTCGGCGAGTGGCTCCGTGATAATGAATGGAACTATGCACTATGTACTCCGTATGCCCAAGAGAAATGTACATAATGCGATTATGATATTTATGATAAATATTACCCTATAATCTCATATTTACCAAGGACATCTGCTTATATCCGGAGATATTACTGAATAGAAACTCACTGGAAACTACTATGTATGCCTGTCTGCATTACCGGAGCCGTCGTGCCGGCAACCTACCGCGAACAGCCATCATGCTAGAATCAGAAGTTCTGGATTCGACCGTCGATGATTAATCAGTCATTCGTGATTCATAACTATGACATGGCTGAATTGATAAGCTGGGCATGCATATTTATCGAGAATTATTTACTTTCAGTATCTGCTCTGTCTGTAATTTGTATGCCTGCCTATAGATGAAAATAACACTAGTGTACGGAGCACTTATGTATGATCACTGCACAGCCGAAAAGAGAAAAGTGGGTCTATGCACCATCATATCACGAACTGACCTCCGACTTGGGGAAGTTTCCTGTTTGGGTTAGTGGCCAGATCGTGGAGATCACATGAATATTTCTCTGTGTATGGAGTACTCTGGAGTGTTTAACCCCAATGCGAAGTCAATTGACATTCACTGGAGGTGGGTAACGCTCTTCTCTTTTGCGTTATTTTTACTTTACATGGTGCATTCGAGTATCACCTCCACGGCGATGCAACAGTTGAGACGTCAATCCTTCCTGATGATCTACCGCGGGATCCTGTCGATATCCACCCCTGTTTCTACTCCATACGGCCAGCCCGTGCTCCGTGCTGAAAGAAGCACCTCTATGACGATTGCTAACGATCGAGGGGAACTTCCAGTACTGCTATCAATTCAATAACTTCGGGAACAACAGTATCATTGGCATGTCTTGGCCTGTTGCAGCTTCTATCCAGGACCGCCAATTCGATTGGGGTCATCTCAGATCATTGCCAAGAATGAATTAGATATAAGAATGCCATATTCCAGCACTATCACGTAGGCAAGAGATCTCCGAGATGGGCCGACCCTGTCAGGACTAATTACTACTATGTCCGCATAGCAGCTCAGGGCCTCGAGATCGTCAGGAGGTTTGCAGAGTAATTTTGTTCTACATGGTTATATATCTCGCTGTACTCTAGTCCGTAGTAACATTCTGAGTACAAAGTATAGCAATTCTGCTCATACATACTCCATAGTAGAGACTTGAATGGATTACGTGGACTCACATCAGCTTCATAGCTGCCAAGGATGATGCTTATGAAAAGAGACCGGAAGCATCGTACACCAATTGCACGGCCGCGCGGAAACCTGCCAGTCGACATTCCAATTTCCCGGGAATATGTACGGAATGTACCCCAGACAACAAAAGTCTAATGGACGGAGTACGTCTTGTGTCAGATTTCGTTTGTACTCCGGGGTACATCAAACGTGTGCTGCGCCAGGACAGCCATTCAATACAGGAAATTGGTTTAACCACGACCCGTAACAAGACACGCTCAATCATATCGTATGCAAATCTATAATACAGTAGTAAAATTTCCATCCCAAACAAACGCCAGCGTCATAACCCAAGGGCCGAATATCATCCAAACCAGCTGCCTCGGTGCACATTATGTCCAGTATATCCCTCCGTCTATGGATTGACCTTGATACCCATCGACTTGGCCTGCGAAATCACGCTCTTACACAGTCCTTCCATGGTCAATCCCGATAACCGCAGCTCAGACTGTTTGATCTGCGCAATTTCGTAGACGTGCTTCAACGACACTTGGCCGATGCTCTCATGCCCGGGGCTAATAGCGCCACGGACTCGGTTCTTGCGCGGCTCAACGTTTGCAGCCTGCAAGAGCAGCCAGGAAGTAGTGGGAGTGCGGAGGTCAAAAGTGAACGAACGATCGGGACGGACGGTCACACGCGCGGGGACTGGGGTGCCGGTTTGGATGTGTGCTGTGCGGGCATTGAACTCCTGTAGGTAGCCATTCTAGTCAGCAATGGCTCACATGTCTTTCCTCCTGATCTTAGATTTATCACTTGCCTTGCAAAAGTCCATGCTCTTGACACCCTTACTACCCAGAGCTGGACCAACGGGAGGACTGGGGCTGGCCTGGCCAGCGCCCACTATGAGCTTCACAATCTGATTTTGTGCCAATGCCTTCCTTGCCATGATGAGAGACGACTCAAGGTGAATTTATTAGACTCGGAATAGAAATAGATGTTTGTTTAACTTGCTTCCCCAGACATTCATCTTTCTCAATTTTCCGGCGAAGTTGCTGCCATAATTAGGTAATACTAACTAGTCCATAATAGGTCTAGCGTGTACCATGGCCGCTACAAGCGACAAGCGAGACAACCGCGGCAGTCCGCTTGCTGGACGTCATCCAACTCTGGCAATTAACTGTTCATCCGGCATATTTGATCATCTCTGTTGTTCTGGTCACTGTCAATAGCTTTCAAACCGCTTGAATCTGTTGAGTATTATCCCTCCATCAACAACGAGTTTCTGCAATCGGTTGGGGATCTCCTATCCTGATCTGCTCTTTTGCCCCCAAAGAACTGGACTAGACCCCTTTGGGCCCCGCGCGCTATTGTTTTCCTTTCTTCGTCCTCTCGATCGGCTCAACAACGAGTCCCGTTCCCTTTCCTTTCCCTTTGAACTTTAACACCCGATTTCTTCATATTCCATTTCATCCCCAGAAAAGAAATACCTCTCTTCATCATGAACTGGCTCAAGTCGACGTATGTTCACCTCTTTCCCCGCTCTGCTAAGACAAAATAAAATGTGCTGATCCCTACAGTCTGGCCAGTGTTGCTGGCACTCAGGAACCGATCTACGGTCCCGAAGCCATCCAATCCGTCGCTAAGCAGACTGAAGCTGCTCGTTTTACTGAACTGACCAAGGAGGATTTGCGGTGGCGCGCCCTCCAGTACACCAATGTCGAGACCCAGACCTTCTATGCGATGGGCGATAATGGCACTCTGGCGATGGTTCAGGTCATCTACAGCAATATCGTGTGAGCATGCCTTGTATATCTGACTCGATAGTAGTCCATGTCGCTGACTTTGTTGTCTTCAACAGGGGCATCCATACCACCGCCCAGTTCAACTCGAAGATCTTCAACCTCAAAGGCGATGGTCCCCACAACTGGCACTCCGATCCCTTGTCCAACTTCATGTTCGATGAGAAGATGCTCTCGTTTGGCGCCGACAATCTGGCCGTGTCTCTCAACGAAGAAGGCACTGCCTACACCATCCGGTCAACCGTGAGCGAAGACAGCGTGGTGGACTTGACCTTCTCCCGGGCCGCTCCTGGTTTCGTCATCGGTAAGGATGGAACGAGTTACTTTGGCACGGATGCCGAGAACCCCTGGGGCTCGATGCACCACGCCTTCTGGCCCCGTTGCACAGTCCAAGGCACCATCAAGACCAAGGAAGAGACCTTTGACCTCGGGGGTCGGGGCATGTTCATTCATGCGATCCAGGGCATGAAGCCACACCATGCTGGTAAGTCTTCAACGAGAATCCCCTGGCATCGTGTTATCACAGTCTGACCAAAATAGCGGCCCGCTGGAATTTTGTCAACTTCCAAACCCCATCCTACTCCGCCGTCATGATGGAATTCACCACACCTCCCTCGTATGGCTCGACCGTCGTTAACGTCGGTGGTATTGTGAAGGATAATGAGATTGTCTACGCTGGCGTCAACAACACGGCCACCCACACCGACACCGCCAAGGATGAGGAAAGTGAATGGCCTGAGCCCAAGTCCATCAAATGGAACTGGGACGGCAAGACGACAGATGAGAAGGAATTCCATGCGGAATTGGATGGTTCTCTTGGCAACCGACAGGACCGTATCGATGTCATGGCGGAGGTCCCAGGGTTCATCAAAACGATTGCAGGCAGTGTTGCCGGCACGAAGCCCTACATCTTCCAAGTATGTTTGATTGTCTGCGCCGTTTCGGATTACACATAGCTAATGGGGATATAGTACGCACCGCAAGAGAAGCTTACCTTGAAGCTAAAGGTTGGTGATGAGGAAGTTGCTGAAGAGGGAACCATGTTCTCTGAAGCCACTTTCATTTCATGAGAAGATTTGGAACGTTATTTTGGCATTCGATGATGGCGTTTTTACATGAATGAGTTTTGCTTTTGCTTTTTTGAGATTGACGATGTTTACTCACCTACCAACGCGATCCGAAATCCTAATAATGCACTCTACAAGTGTAATTCCTTTCTGATATATACCGGCTACCCGCCATTGCTTCCCTTTCTCCCACTCCGTATAGTCTAGCTCCAATATCTGAGTTACACTGCCAGGCCAGCACGTGGCTCGATGCTAATGCAGTCTTAGCAAATGCATACGAATCTCGAAAGAAACACCTTGCTTTTGGATAACCTACGCACTCCTAAACACCGAACACATCTAACATCGACACAAAAAAGAACACCACTGAAGCCGTTCGGGTGCGCACCAGGCTTGTCTGCATAGCAGTCATAATATACCCGACGCTTCCTGTCTTATTGCCGTATGAGGAACAGTGCCAAGCAGTTTAGCTTATCGGTATCCTTGACAGCTACGCGACGACAACTTCGTCTATTCTCTCTACCTTTTTCTTAGAGAACAACAACATGAATTTATCCTTCTTCAGTAAGACACTAGCCTAAATAAGCTTTCTGGTTTTGATGTCTCATGATATTCTGCAGGTTTTAACCCCAACTTCAAAGGAGCGAACAAGTACGAACTTCCCCGAAACCTGAACAAGGGTATCCTTAAGAGTCCTCCATGGCCAGCATCAGCTCCTAGCACAAACCATGTGGCCTTTCTTCTACATAACCGCTACCAACTTGAGCTCAAGCATATCAACTTTTACTCTTAGACTCAAGAGACAGTCTTGAGCCAGTTGTACTCAAAAGTCAAATTAACTAACACTTACATTTACCTTGCGAGGCTCGCGAAAGAACTGGTTGTTTACTAAGTTATATGGCAATTGTCAGTTCCATACAATATGCCTGATGGAATTGTTCGATGAAATCGCTGGTGGAGAGTGTTTTACACATGTGACTGGTAACTCCGAGAAAGCTAAAGAAGACTGATGTCATGCGTGGGCCTTGATTGATCCTTAGCCTGCTTTGTTCGTATGGATACAGCATACATGTGCTTTACCTCATGAATCAGCTTAAGAAACGAAGTTCGTGGAGTTAAAGGACTGCGATAAGGTGTCGGACAGTAATTTACTATACAACGAAAGGGTTCAGAATGGAATCATACTAGCTCTCGCGCCCTATAGCTTTCCAAAAGTATTACTGTAGGTACAGTTAGGTTTATATCAAGCAAGTCAATAATTCCTACGCTAACTCCTCATTCAGCCCGTTTGTCAATCTGGTAAACCCGACTTCTCTCGCCCGCGCACCGCGTCATTGAATTAAAGAGTTCCCTCTGTCCAGATGGATACATAGTCGTCTCATTCCTGGTGGGGATGCTATCTGAATGATAAAAGGAATTCAAGGCGAATTCTGCAGAATCATCACAAAGAGACATTCGAATTGACGGATGCCCAGAACACATTTTGCATTTAGACCTAGGGAGCTGACCGTGAAATGCTCTCCGTCACATTGTACTGGCTCTAGACCTTCGTAGGGGCAGTATTCTATGGCTGGAAGGTAGGAGACATCCGCTGTGGGTTTATTTATTATAAACAGACCTGAGTCTCTTCTATCACCGAATTAAACAGACAGGATTTGATTAATAATTTGTTTTTGCTTTAATCCTCATGTGTTCATTCGTGACCTGTGGTTTGAGTGCAGTGGCTGACGTTCAATGACTTCTTGGTATAGATGGGACATATGTGGGTTGGGTCCCCAAGTGTTAAGTTCATGTCTCTTCTTTTTTTCTGTTGGTCAATATCGGGGTTATCCTCCTATTGACTCTTCTTGCAGGTCAAAAATATGTTTTGTTCCTTTTTATTTTTGTGTCTATTCAAATATTATCAGAGCACCCCGTCTTGACGAAACGGGGTTTGAAATTGCAGCTACAGAATCACCATATTCCAGCACGTGAAGAATAGCTACGCCATCATGAAGGCTGGTCAGCGTGGTTATATCTTGGCGAGAAATACGTATTGTGGTATTTGGTGCTGGGTGGAGATTTTCCACTGGTGTATAGTCGGGCCATACGGCTTGCGCTAGGACGAGATGGTCGTGTAGGATGCTGGGGAGGGTGGCTTTGTCTAGGGCGATGGATGGGGGGAGGTAGACGGTCCTCTTTTCTTGTTCGCCTGTGAAGATATTGGGGTTATCTGGTCGAAGGGTAGTCGGGTCGGGGACTATGCGGTCTTTGTTAATGTTTCGAGTTAAAGAGAAGACAGGGTTGGGACTCACATGAAGGGAGATCCGAGAGGGGATCCATGTTGTTTTCCAGTTCAGATGAAGGATGTCACTTTCCGCTAGACAAAATGAATGAACCTGACAGGGTACGTATACAAATATATGGGACATTGTACTACAAGCAAACAACTGAGCGCTTAGGGCAATTTCGAAGGGGACCAGCCCTCTGGCTGAGCCCTCGGAATCACACATATGAGGAGGCTTAGCGAGAGAGGCTGCCTAGAATGAATGTCGATGGAATAATGCGATGTTGGTGCTTAGACGGAACCGCACGGACTTTCCCTGGCGTTTGGTCGTGTTGAGAAGTAAGAGTACTATATCTTCGTTGATGCTCAATCAGAGCTTGAAGCAGATTGAGACATGGAACAAATACATTCTGCTCTCCAAGTTGAGAAAAATGAGACAACGTCGGTGGTTCTCATTCAAATCTCGATCAAAAATTGCGAACCCTCGTTACACTTCTTAGAAGCGTCCTCATCAGCAATCTCATCGAAGAATTCCATCAAGCATATCGTATGAAACTGACGATTACCATAAGCCTTTGTGAACAACCAATGCGCTCGCCCCCGGACCGTAAAGCTTTCTTCCAAGGAATACCCTATATCGCTGTCAGCTATGGCGTAGCAAGAGGAGGTCTCTATCCTCACTTATTTGTCCACCATCTAATACTGTTTCCAACACCGTATACACTATTTCCCGACTTTCCCCACCTTCCGGCCCTTCTCCTCACACAGAAACGCCATTATCAAAGCCGATGAGTTTGCCTTTAATATAATCCGGACCGCCTTTGAATTTGAGGATGAAGACTGTTCGACTTAGATTCGACTTGGCGCGTGTTACATCAAAAAAGGGCCATAGGATTTGTGTCAGGCAGCAGTGGTTATGTAGAACTTCGAGAATGGCGTCTCTATTGATGTTTGGGTATGTGTCATATTTACTCACCCATTTATAGGTGGGATTCGAACCTGTACAGTTATTAATGTTTTCAATTAAAATGTCAATCCGGGAAGCTGCTCACCAAAAAAGACTCAACAGCTTGTCCAAACGCAATACTTCTGGCCAACCTGGAGACGAGATGTTGAGAGATACATATGGAACTGCTCAAAGTGTTGAAGAGCTGAAAATCCATGAGACTGTGCTCCTGGACTACTCCAACCCTTGCCCATTGCAGAACAGCCTTGGCAGCACATCTCTATGGATTTCCATTCTTTCCCTCCTGACAAGAAGGGATATGATGCTGCACTGGTGATAGTGGACTGATTCAGCAAGAGGCCTATCAGTGTGCCATGTAAGAAGACTGCTACTTCTGAAGATGTTGCACATATGTTCATTGAACATGTCTACTGCCATAGAGGACCCCTGATGACCATTGTTTCAGACTGTGGACCCCAGTTCATATCAGCATTTTGGAATGAGCTATGTTGAATCCTTGGAATCCAGTTGAAGCTTTCCACTGCTTATCACGCGCAGACTGACAGGCAGACAGAGATTGTGAACCAGCATATCATGAATCAACTGAGGCCTTTCATCAATTGTTATCAGGACAATTGGTCAGACCTGTTGCCATTGATTGACTTTGCTGCTGCTGCTCTACCCTCTGAATCAACTGGTGCCTCACCTTTCCTAGTTAATTGTGGATATGAGCCCTGAACATCATTCGACTGGACGCTGATAGAGGGGTCCCTCCCAAGGGATGAGCAAGTTAGTTGACAACAAGCCCAGGACACAGCAAGGAGGATGGAGCAGATATGGACTGCTGTAGGCAACCAGATTAAGAAGACCCAGGACCAGCAGAAGAAGCAGGCAGATTGCCGACGTCATCCTATTGACTTTGATGTGGGAGACCAGGTGTGGCTCTCCTTACAACACTATCAAATGGATCGCCCCAATAAGAAACTGGACAGCCAGATGGCAGGACCGTTCCCAATCCTTGAGCGCGTTGGAAACTCTTACCGCTTGGAACTTCCAGAAATGATGAATATCCACCCAGTCTTCTCACCAGACAAACTATGACGGGCCGCCAATGATCCCTTGCCAGGACAGGTGGTTGAACCACCAGAACTGATCATTGTTGGAAATGAACAGGAGTGGGAGGTGGAGGAAGTCCTTGCATCTCATATAAACTGACGCTGACTGCAGTACCAAGTGAAGTGGATTGGATTTGATGAGGACCGGACATGGTACTCAGCTGCCAATTTCAAAGGCTCACCACACTGTCTATGTGATTATCACCAGAGATACCCAGAGAAAGCAGGACCGCCATATCAACTGGAGGAGTGGTTGAAGGCATGGGAAGAAGGGGTTGATGAGATTGATGACCATGTTGATGATAACAAACCAGCAACATAGAGTCTGGGGACAGACTCCGCTTAAGGAGGGGGGTTATGTGACGGCTCAACGACCAGACAAACATTGCCAACATGCCAAAAGATGCCATACAAGCAATATGGACAAACAAGGGCTCAAGCCGCATCGCACAAA